ACAGCAATAAGGGAGAGCGGCAACAGCCCTGGTAATATCATTTGATTCCTGTATTGAAATGATAAGAAATGATGAGATTGCGGCGTGTTGGCTTGATGAATAGGGGCTCAGATCTGAGGTGATGTGATCGTCATATCTCGTCGGAAGTTCCGGGAGTCTCCCTGATGGCCGCAAATTTGTTAAAATCTCCCGGAATCCGCGCATAACATACATAGCGCGCGGCGCGTGCATGGCAGAGAGGGAGTGAACGAGACCTTGCGAATGTGCCACGCGAAAGCTAGTCCCGCACTCTCCTATTGTTAATAAGAAAGCGATAAGGGGCCATTTACACCTGGTCACTTCGGAAGTATCTTTTTATTTTTAAATATAAATAAAAGCAATATTCGAATAGTAACTTTAGCATTCGAATAGTATTGATTTTTTTTTAATATTCAAATTATATTCGAATTTCGAAATTCGTTCCAACAGCCCTAGACACCATGGGTAATACCAATCCTCCATAATGCATCAGTCTGCGTATTCAGCTTTGTCCATATTTTCAAAGCGTTTCTGCTGGTGTAATCAAATGCACACTGGCACTGATCTGTGATTGGTCTGTTAGCGCATTAGGTCCATGGGTGGGTCTGAAAAGGTGGGAACTAGTGCTTGTAGTCTTTACAGAAATCCCCCTCTCTTACACTTCCCCCTACAATGACGTAAAATGGCGATTTTTGCGTCATTGTAGGAGGAAGTGAAAAAGGTAAATAGCAGATTTCTCTCGTGTCAGGGGAAAATGAGAGAGTGTTGCACGACCATTCAATAGTATAACTGTGTTTCTAACAATGGAAAGCCCATGTAAATGGGTGGAGTGACCCTTTAATATACAGTAGCTACCTACTGTTATATATGCTGATAATATAAATCAAACAACAAAAGAAATAACAAAAATCTTTTTATCATTATAGGCCAGGGTGGTTGTGTACATACACTGCCGAGACATTTATGTTCAAACACCATGTAAAAGTGAATTTTCCATATAGGTCCCCTTTAATATTATCTGAGCATTGCGTCAATGCAGGTTACTAATCATTTTCTGCTGACTGCGTAGCCATGGCAACAATGTAACTAAATTAAACTTAAGTGAACGATGAAGGGTTTTAGTGAAACACTGGAAGCGATAAGTAACAAAACATCAGCCCGAGCTATTTTTAATGGTCACCGCTAACATAACACAACTCTTTCACAAGTAACTAAAATTTTAAAGATAAACAATATATGAGCGCTGTTTGGAACTATTTAAAGAAATTGTGCTCTTCCTACCCTAGCATACTGCTTTAAATGCTGTTATTTTCTTAATATAACCCTACATATAAAACCATAAGGAATAAAGTTGGGCATGTTTCTTTCAGTGACCAGAAGATGTCAGGCTTGTTACACAATATGTGTTTGCCCTAGCTTGTAAATGTTTTATTCTTTTGAGGCCTGAAGAGTAGTATAACTAATATAGCTTTGAGGTTTGGTTGAGGTTGGTGATGAATAATCATGGCATATCCATATAAGGGAAGTGTTGCATCTTTATTATTCAATTTTGTTTCTGTTTACCGAGTTATATTATGGTGAATATTCGGTCCATATGTGTTTCTTAATCATTTTCTGAAGTTATACAATGGATTTGGGGGCATCTGTCTGAAATAATAGTCACAATAATTGCTATAGCCTAATAGTTTATGAAACTAATATCAAGAAATTACAAAGATAATTATAGAAGCTTATTCTGTTCATCTCTGTTCAGATCATTATGATCTAATTGTGTGAGTAAGAGAAATTAAATGACTCCTCGGGCCTCTTTATGAGCCAATTAGTGAGATCCAGTGGAAAACCCATTATACCAGCTTTCCTAGTCCCAAACAAAACCCAGTGTGTGTTTGTCTGTATGTGCTGGTGTGCATGATTTTGTGTGTGAAAGCTTATGTTTTTGTTTCCTTTCTCATATGTGTGCTCGTCCTTGAGCTTGCATGTGTTTGCGTGTACATACGGAAGTGTTTGGAGCGTTGTATCCTGCTGAGCTCCTAGAAGTGTAATTACAGACTCGTTTAGAGTTCTCTCCATCCCCTCCTTCCCGCCTGTCTTCCCCTCCTCCCCCCTTCCCTCCATCCGGAGACCTGCTGCTCTCGAGCGCATTAAAACACTCCCCTGCTTTTTAATTAGCCGTCTGGAAAACAAACCCGGCATTCCTGCAATGCCGCTCCATGCCAGGCTCCTCTGACTTACGCACAGACTCACACTAACAGGGACACACATATTGCTCTCTGTTGGTTATTGTGCTGTTCTCCACCACAGGGTGGCACATTTGCTCTTCTGGTGGTTTCAGCCCTCTTAAAAAGATTCCAGCTAATCCAAAATGTTCTTACAAGGATGTATTTTCGTCTAATTTAGATCCACCTGATCCCATATCAGTGTTCAGGACAGCAGTAAATAGCCCTGTGAGGTTTGAGAGGATTTAATGATATGGCTGTGAATAAAAGGCATGTTTATGGGAGAAAGTTCTTTAATGTCCTCACAGTTGGCCCAGTATTATTAGCCCTACATAAAGATTTCATAGGGATTTAATACTGGTCATGGCCCATTAAAATGCAATATTACTGCTACTGGTTGTGACGAGTGATGCTTTCAACTCAAGTTCCTGCTGCCTCAAGGATGGTTGTTGTTCGTACTGAATTATGACGGCCTCTATTGAAAGTTTATGATTTTGCTAAATGTGAAAATTAACTCCAGGGTGTTCAGTTTAAAAGGCACTGAATGTTAAGTGTGTGTGTGTGTGTTTCTTGCTGTATTTCCTTGCTACTTTTCCTGTGGAAAGACCTTGTGTGCCTCCATTTTCTAGGTGAAGGGAAATCATAAAATTGGAAAACATCAACCCTGCCCTCCCCTCCCGTCACTTTTCTGCACCTGGCACACATAATTACACTTCCCCCACGCATAATACCAGAATAAAGTTACGAAGATTTAAAAGAGCATTTCAGCCCACAAAAAATAAAAATTCTGTCATCATTTCTCAACCTCATGTTTTTGAAACCAATATAACTGCCTTCTTCCATGAAACACAAAGGAGATTTTAATTGCGGAATGTCCAGCAAAAAACAGCATTTCATAAAATGACATTTCATATATCATTTTTCATATAATGACAGTGAAAGTAAACCAAGGCTGCCATATATGATTTAAGTATGTTCCTTTAACAAATCTATCACACCGATTAAAAGACTTGTAATATAGTAAAAAGGAAACTTTCAACTTTTAGGATACTTTTTAGGATACTCTGGGGTTCCAGCCACTGATTTTTTATGAAAACGAGCAGCATAAACATTCTTCAAAATGTCTATTTTTATGTTCTATAAGTCATATACTAGTTTGGAATAACATGAGGGTGGGTAATTTCATTTTATTGTAGCTCTTTAAACTCTTATTTCAACTTTTCAACAAACCCCAATATAAAATTGTTATGTTTTGCAAGGATGTCACTCTAGATAACTCCTTGAAGGTGAATTTGTGACGCTAATTTGTGTATCTGTGCAAAGTTTAAGGGAAAATAAATGTAGAATGGGGTAAAAAATGCGGACGTGTAGTGTAGGTTAAACTAAAGATTCATGGGTAAAAATATACTTTCATACCAGTAGAGAAACTTTTGATAGATAGCCCACAGATAAGTATTTACTATTTGTTGTATTTCATTTTAACCATTCATTTGAATTTTTCACTTGTTTTTCATTTCTTAATTGCTAAATGTGAAGTGTGTTTAAGATTGAAAAGGCACACGACACCAGCAGGTAAAATGATTCGGAAATGCTATTAAACCACTGATGAAGACCACCTCAGTGGACCACCTGAGATACACAGATGTGTGTGTGTGTGTGTGTCCTCTTTATGAGGTGAGGAAGGCCTAATCCATGCACTGCTGACACCAAAAAGCACTCTGATTAGATTAAGGCAGAAGCAGACACAGGTTGACTGGTTTCCTTTAAAGAAGTCAAAGAAACTTATATTTTTACCATTCATTTGTCTTTTGGGGTTCAAATCATGCTTATTACAATTACAAATTGTGTGAAATGTGACAGAACGCAAAATATATTTATTCACATGCAAAATCTGGCACATTCTACAGAGCATTGAGTGTGCGTAGAAGTTGCTCCATGTTAAAGGAGAATAATGGTTAAGTGAACATGCTGGAATGCTTTTAATGGCTTTGAGTAATACCTCATTTAGACATGTGGGACCTATTATATACGCTGCCTGTTATACACAAATATAACTGTGCACACACATGCAATGCAACCATTTGAATGTGAAAAACCATGCTTTTCTTTTTCTTCTTTCTCCACATGGTCATTGAAACCTCTGTAAAATAATCATGCAGAATGTGCCAGCTTCACTCACACACACACACTCAACAGTGTGTCTTTTTTTCTCTTTGTGAGGTCTTCTGTGGACCATTTATGTTTTAATGAGCTCTAAGCAGCAATTAACATCCTACAATTCTCTCTCTTTCTCTCTCTCTCTCTCTCACACACACACACATACACATACATACAGTGTATGGTAAACAATAACTTTGTTAACATTTTGTGCAAGTATGTAGAAATAAGACACATACTGATCAGTCATCATTAGCCACATGAGGGCAGTCTTAGGCCATGATACAGATTATAATCAGACACACACACATACTTGGCAGAGGAACGTTTGAAGCATTGCCTGGTGTGCCTCAGGCACTGGAAGCTGCCTGCTGTCACAAGCAGAGTGGAAAAAGTTTGGTGGTGGTGGTGGTTGTGTTGGACCTGCAGGGCATTAGGGGTACTTGTTTGACTAAACTTACTGTAAGCACAACACAAAATAATGTTTCAAGATGTGATCATCAATGTAATACTGGATACACAGTGTTTGGCTTGACCTATATGTCTACATCTTTAACTTCAGCTTCATCCGGTGTGTTTTACAGTGATATATGTTTGTGTCTCTATCAGATACAGATCCCAGAGTTCTGGAGAGGCAGGAGCTGCAGCAGCCCACATACGTTGCCCTGAGCTACATTAATAGGTGTGTATGTTGAAATATGTAGTATAATTTGCTTCAAATATTGATAAAATTGTAATTATATTATAAAATGAAAACTATATTAACATTCAGAAGTTTGGGGTCAGTCATTTAGCTTCGTTGACACATTTAAAAATCTTGCCGACCCCAAACCTTTGAATGGTAGTGTATTGCTTGCATATAGAAATTCAAAATAACATGTATATGCATCAAATATAAATAAATAAATAAATACATGAAGCACTTGGGAGTTTTTTTGACACCTACAAGTGTAGTTTTTCTGTTTTGTATTAAAGGGTTAGTTCACCCAAAAATTAAGTCATTAATTACTCACCCCCATGCTGTTCCAACCCCGTAAGACCTTCGTTCATCTTCGGAACACAAATAAAGATATTTTTGATTGAATCTGAGAGCTGGATCAGTCCTACATAGACTGCCTAAGGGACTGGCTCTTGACGGCCCATAAAGTCATTAAAGAAAAGGTTTAAATATTCCATGTGCCTACAGCGGCTCAATTATAAGTTTATCAAGCGACGAGACTACTTTTTGTGCGAAAAAAACATAAATAACGACTTTATTCGACTATTCCATTACTTCCTTATGGGCGCATGCGCAAGAACTGAGACGAGGACGTTCTCATTCGACTACTTTTTGTTACCGGCTGCTCACCGCTTAGGAGTTTTACCGCCACCTACCGTATAAAATGATGATCCATATATAAGGCGCTCCGGATTATAAGGAACACTGTCGTTTTTTGAGAAGATTAAAGGCTTTTAAGTGCACCTTATAGTGCGGAAAATACGCAAATTGAAAAGCGTATGTACAGCGCGCATCTTCCTCTGCTTGTAAACAGAAAGTTTTGCGCTTCCAGCTATATCAGCACATCATCTTATACGGTAGGTGGCGGTAAAACTCCTAAGCGGTGAGCAGCCGGTAACAAGAAGTAGACGAAGGAGAACATCCTCGTCTCAGTTCTCGCGCATGCGCCCATAAGGAAGTAATGGAATAGTGGAATAAAGTCGTTATTTATGTTTTTTTCGCACAAAAAGTAGTCTCGTCGCTTGATAAACTTATAATTGAGCCGCTGTAGGCACATGGAATATATAAACCTTTTCTTTAATGACTTTATGGGCCGTCAAGAGCCAGTCCCTTAGGCAGTCTATCTAGGACTGATCCAGCTCTCAGATTCAATCAAAAATATCTTTATTTGTGTTCCGAAGATGAACGAAGGTCTTACGGGGTTGGAACAGCATGGGGGTGAGTAATTAATGACTTAATTTTCATTTTTGGGTGAACTAACCCTTTAAAGATTTAAATTAATTCCATGAACATAGTCCTCAGTTACACCAGTACCTGCACATTCAATCTCTTAATTTGGCTTATTGTTTGTTTGTTTGTTTTTTAAGATTCATGACTGAAGCAGCCCGCAGAGAGCAAGAAACTCAAAAGAAGAAGGTCCAACCCAAAATTGCTATATCAGTAACGGGAGGTGTATCGCGTAACAGTACAGCGACGCCTCCGCGACATAGCAACGGCAGCCTAACTCCACCCGTCACCCCTCCCATCACACCCTCGTCCTCCTTCCGCAGCAGCACACCTACAGGTTATTGGAGTTTGTGGGATTTTACATGATTATAAAGTTAGATTTATATATGAATATATACTGATATGAATATGCAATGTCAGTGTGCATGCCCTCAAAAGTTCCCATTGGTTTAAATCCAAGCTTTTGGTTCTATCAAGTTTTTGACCCTTTCTTTAAAACACCCTTAGAGGGGCCGAAATCAAGTCTTGGAATTAAACACCCACTGCTATGATTGGGTAACAGTTTTGCATTTTAAAATAATTTTCAGCGTCTCCGCCATTACACGTTTCTGATGTTGAAAAATGACAACTGGTAAAATTCAGCCTTACATTGTACATTGAGTTACAGTTCACAAAGGATAACTTGCAGTGTTTCATGTAAACAAATTATGAATGAATGTATCATCGTTTGTCTCACTGTTATTCTTTCATCGTTTTTTCAGTAAAGTGAAAATAAAGTGAGTACATATCAAACGATCTGTATCAGGCAAATCAATAGTGACACGTGGTAAAAAAAACATTGTTACTCTCACACACTTGTGAGTTGCGACATAACTGTCGAATCCAAATAGGGTAGTCTCTCTGAAAAGTCTGCGTCAAACTGTGTCTTGTTTAAAAAGCGAATCCAGAGTAAAATAAAATGAACAAACAAACTGTCTGCAGAGGCAGTCTTTCCTTGCACTAGGATGTCATACTGAGACAAATCTGAAACGAGTCATTTTGACAGCTTGGTTTATATAAAAGCTGCTTTTGGACTAATGTGGAAGTTGTGTTTAAGTTCTGAAACTTACAGGATATTTTTAACAGGGTAATTTCTACTAAGCCCTCTTATATGTCAAAAGGTCAAGGAATATTTGATTTCTCAATTCATGACCCATTTAAGTCTAAACTGAACTGCGGCAATAAAAACACATTAGAGCCCTAATGAAGAAACATTGGATAATTGGAGCAAAGGGCACATTTACACTCTCAGTTCTCATTAGTTCTTTCATCAGCTAATATATGAAGCAAATAAATGACTAATTAAAGAGTTTAACTTTTTGGTGCGCCTCAGGCAGTGAGTGTGATGAGGAGGAAGTGGAGTATGAAGACTCTGACAGCGACGAGTCCTGGACTACAGAAAGCGCCATCAGCTCAGAATCCATCCTCAGCTCCATGTGTATGAACGGAGGCGACGAGAAACCCTTTGCATGCCCTGTTCCAGGATGCAAGAAGAGATACAAGGTACTCCACTCACAACTATATATATACTATGTGGACAAAGAAATTGGGACTTGAATTTTGGCTTTTCAATCAGACCCTTTGCCACAGGTTTATACAATCAATTAGAGAAACTAAAGAGCTCAGTGAATTCAAGAATGGTACTAAAACAGCATGTCTGAAGTGTTCAAAACATCCATGGCATTAATATAAGCACAAAAACTGTGCGGGAGCTTCATAGAATAGGTTTCGGGGTTGGGCAAGGCTCCTTCCAGTGAAGAGAAATCTTAAAACCCCCCTGTGGTGAACATCAAGTATTTAATATTGTTTATATGCCTGTGTGGTGTTTTTAATGTGCTTTAAGACAAACCATGTGCAAATTCACAAGTCAACACCATTGCTGAATATGAAGAGTTTGGTTCCAAAACGCGATAAACGCCATTTAAAAAAAAAAATGAGTTACTGCAAAAATCTGACTTTTCAATACCGACCAGATACAAAACAATGTTTAATTTTACGTAAAATGGGATATCCGCCGTGTTATTATGTAATGTTTTCTCCCTTTCTTTCCAACAAACGCCAGTCTCCCTTTTCTGCAAAATGCCACATATCCGTTAAACCAATCACAACGCACCATTCCACGCAATGTAAACAGTAACGGCAGCGCTTTAACTAACCCGGCTTCCTAGGTTTTCTCTATTTTGTCCTTTCGATCAACAAACAAACAAAAAAATGAATAATTTTGACAGCATTGGTGAACCTGCGGAGGGTAAGGCATCCTGCATGGGTAAACGTGACATCGAAATCGAATCATTTACGTGAGGAAGAAGATGGACTCGGGAGGAGGAAATGCCGGCTGTTGCTTGTTCTCACACGACAGCATCAAACTTCTGTCACGCTGACACACTGACCCCCAGAGGATCTTTTGGAAAACTTTCAGTTGTTTTATTCAAAGTCAACGAAAACCGAGCAGGACCAAGCCAGTTTACAGCTGATCGCCGTCAAAAAAGTTCAGCGGCGACGTCCCAAGGTTGACAACAGCGATATGCATAATGTTAGATCATGCTTAATAAATCATTATTCATGATGATGTGCTCGTCTTAGTTAATGTTTTAATTAAGGTTTTGTTCATCCACGAAGTCATGAATGAAAAACGTTGAACTGTTAGTTCCTGATGATATTAATATGAATTAATGCATAATTCATTTATCCATGAATTCATGATAATTCATGACATGAACCCTTAAAGTGTTACCGAATATTGTTATATTAAAGCAATGGATTTATAGTATGCACAATTTTATTTTGATTAATTGCATTTTGAAAAAAAAAAAATATTGGATTTATTGCATTTTGGGGGAAAAAACGATCTGTTTTTATAATAAATCTTTGAAAATCAAAACCTGGATTTCATTTTTTATTGTTATTATAACCTACAAATGCTATGTGGAAATTTGAAACCGAAAATAGTGGTTTTCATCTTCCCATTTTCTTGCTAAAGAAAACACAGTTTTACTCAAATTCATCAAAATGGATTTATAGCGTTTTGGAACCAAACTCTTCATATTTTCTCCTTAAAACTGCAGCGTAAAAATGACAGTCTCAAAAACGCGGTTTGAAATCACTGGTGTTTCTGACGTCACAAACTACCTTGTAAACAATCATGTGAATGTGCCGGTGGTTTTAGCATGTCATTAACAGTGAACTAGCAGAGGGGTCTCGAGAGAGATTTCAGGTTATCCCTGTATATTTTTTTGTTGATTAGATTAGATTAGATTGGTTAGATTTAGCAATATAGCGGGTGTATGATGCATACTACGATGTTATGATGATGAACTATATGCCTTTCTCCACTGACGCTCTGAGTTGTTCAAAGCAATTGTTTGAAGGCTGAGTGAGATGGCGAACGGGAACATAGTTTGTGTTACATTAGCAACACATTATAAGCTGTTTGATAACATATTCAAGCAAAAGGGCTAGGCTAATCTTATAAATTACCACTATGTGTCCGACGTTGTAAAGAGTGACACCATTGTGCAGCGTTTACCTCAGTAAGTTGGCCGTGTGAATCTGTTAGCTGGCATGAGTGGAGGCGTGGCTAATTAGCATATTCAATATTAAATGTTCCGAGTATATTACATATTAAATGAACATTTAAATATTTCCTTTTGGTGATCAAAGATGAGTTTTAAAGGATTAGTTCACTTTTGAAAAAACTTTTGCTGATAATTTACTCACCCCCATGTCATCCAAGATGTCCATGTCTTTCTTTCCTCAGTCGAAAAGAAATTTAGGTTTTTGATGAAAACATTCCAGGATTTTTCTCCATATAATGGACTTCAATGGGAACCGGATGGTTCAAGGTCCGAAAGATAGTGTTAATAACAGTTTCAGATGCAGCTTCAAATGTCTTTAAACGACACCAGACGATGAATAAGGGTCTTATCATGCGAAACGATCGGTTATTTCAAAGCTTATTCCAAAAATGTAACTTTTCTACGGACAAATGCTAGCCTTTCTCCATTCTGTGAGGCGCGTTTGCAACGTCACGTAATACGTAATTACGTTCAAAAGGTCACGGGCGACGTAGCCAGAACTACAGAGTCAGAGTGTTTACAAGTTGAACGCATAGGTTGAACGTGAAAACTAACTCAAACGCCGTTTACAAAAAAGGAATTAAAAGGTAAAACAACGATGTCGGACGATTTTGATTCCGTACTTCCGGCTACGTCGCCCGTGACCTTTTGAACGTAATTACGTATTACGTGACGTTGCAAACGCGCCTCACAATATATTACAAGGCTAGCATTTGTCCTTAGAAAAGTTACATTTTTGGAATAAGTTTTGAAATAACCGATCGTTTCGCATAATAAGACCCTTATTCATCGTCTGATATCGTTTAAAGACATTTGAAGCTGCATCTGAAACAGTTATTAACTGTCTTTTGGACCCTGAACCATCCGGTTCCCATTGAAGTCCATTATATGGAGAAAAATCCTGGAATGTTTTCATCAAAAACCTAAATTTCTTTTCGACTGAGGAAAGAAAGACATGGACATCTTGGATGACATGGGGGTGAGTAAATTATCAGTAAAAGTTTTTTCAAAAGTGAACTAATCCTTTAAGGGATAAAATTATTGACTACAGGGGGACATTAATGCTTCATGATAGCTAGTCATTTTGGACAAAATTTGTGGGAAGGCCTTTATCTATTCCAGCATGGCTGTGCCCCAGTGCACAAAGCAAAGTGCATAGAGACTTGGTTGGGTGACATTGGTGTGGAAGAACATGACTGGCCTGCCTCAACCCCATCGAACACCTTTGGGATGAACTGGAATGTAGATTGCGAGCCAGACCTTCTCGTCCAACATCAGTGCCTGACTACACAAATGCTCTGTCTATTGGATTAATGGTCAAACCTTCCCACAGAAACACTTCATGGCCAAGTGTTATGATCCAGTGTCCCAATACTTTAGTCCATATAGAGAGTGTGTGTGTGTGTGTGTGTGTGTGTGTGTGTGTGTGTGTGTGTGTGTGTATATGTATATATATATATAGTAGTCAACATTTGAAGTGGATCAAAAAAGTTCATCAAAGTTGTTCTAAGACAATTATGGGTATTGTTCAAAATTCATGTATAATTTTGATGAAAGGCAACCACTTCAAATGTTGACTACTCTCTCTCTCTCTCTCTCTCTCTCTGTGTGTGTGTATATATATATATATATATATATATAGTATTATAGTGGTATAAGCTATTAAAAAAATAATAAAACTGTAGTTGGTCACATTAAATGCCATTTAGATGGTCTCCTCTTATGTAAAGATGGGAAAGCTGCAGATGATTACACTAAATGCTCTTAATTTCAGGAAAGTTCCTTAGGCTTGGTCTTATTCTTGCATTTTCCTCTAACTTCTCTTTCTTCCAGAATGTGAATGGTATTAAGTACCATGCTAAAAACGGACACAGGACACAGATCCGTGTGAGAAAGCCCTTCAAGTGTCGCTGTGGGAAAAGCTATAAAACCTCTCAAGGCCTTAGACATCACACCATCAACTTCCACCCACCCCTGTGATACACAGTCATTTTCACGTTTACCTATTCATCATTTCATTTACATTTCTGTATCATGTTAACTGGGATCAAGTGCTGATTTTGTTCTTTTTTTTCTCTTTCTGTGTGTGATTTTATATATGTATGTAGATATACTTGTACATTTGCACATTCCATGTATATCATTTCTTTTTAAAGTATCATTTATTTTTATTTAATTTTTAAGTGGCACAGCCACTGATAAATGAAAATTACTCTGAAGATTAGGACAACAAACCATTGTTTCCGATATTAAAGTCAATTCAGATAAAATGGTTTTAAATCGAAAAAGAAGAGTTGAGAGTTGAGGTATGTTGAAACGTGTACATATAAAATGATATAAAGACATTTCTATATATATTAGTAGCTAAGTTGTATTATCCAAATATTTTATTTTCCATTATATATTTTGCAGAACATTTATATTATGTTTTATACATGAACGTTATCTCCTTTTTATGGACCATTTCATATTTTTATTTGTTTTGTAGAGAACCGTCTTTTATTGTCTGAATTGGAAGGACATTGATCTCAGGTCACAATACAGCTGCCAACTTTCTGACAAACAAACCAGGAAACCGGAGAAACTCACTTCCACTCACTTCGTTCCAGAACATTCCACACACTATCAAAACGGCTGACTTTACACTGTGTAAAGTTGGCTTTCCAAAGTTTGTTTTGCATGTGGCTAGAATGAAGACAGCACCTTCATTGTAAAATTCAATTCTCTGCATGAGGCCTTTTCCAGACGACTGCAAGCAGTTATGTGGCTCATGCATCTAGTTGTATTTGAGTTCTGAGCAATATTTTATCCAACGATCCCCGAATGAAATCACACTTTTGTCGAAGCCAACAATAATCGCATTGGAAATGCGGTGCAACGACAGCCTGAAGAGAGACAAAGGGCAGATTTATTCTGCCCTGTTACCCCTGCTGCTTATATTCCAGCAGTGCAGAAGTGCCAAGTTATTCTTCTCCAACTGAAAAAGAAACATGGATGATCTGCCAAACACAACGGGTCACATCTGGGTATCCGGTTGGTGCCTGTTAGTGGAGGAGCCTTAAAGAGGACCTAAACTTCTGTTTGTGTACTCAGCCTTGCAGTATTTTTTTGTCAGTTTTAGCTCGTAAGATCCTTATTTCGGTCGTTGCTGTTGATTCGCTTTTATTTTTGACACATTTGGGACTGTCCTTGTGGTTGTTTTTGTGTAAATGTATTTGTTAGCCCTCTGCTTGCCTTGTATTCTAGGCTTGCTTAGCATGACACGACTTCCGGCTAAGCTGCTCTGCTGTCTCTTGGCTTGTAGTCTTACTGTTACAATCTTTGTTGTCAAAAGTATTAAATCTTTACGTTATATTGTTACTGCTAGTATTACAGTTCGATAGTGCCAGATGCATAGCTACGCCTGAATATATTTTCTCAACGTTAATTCTTGAACGGTTTTACATCGGTCCTGTTGTCCGCCAAATAAAGCATACCACAGTTTACACAAGTAAAACAACTTTTAAGAGCTTCAACTTTTTGTGCAGAGAAGAACCAAGTAAGCTTTCCTATCCGCTAGTCTGTTTTTCTCGGTAAGGGTCGGTCATTAAATTAAACAACACGGACCAAAAATGGCACTGCCAAATCTCCAGATATGAAGCTTGGAAAAACAAGATGCTGGTACAGTGATGGCATCAGATTGTGTTACCATGGATCTTTGATATGTATACCTTGGTATTTATATGGTACTTTAAGGTATTCTCAGGGTACATGTCCAAAAACATGGTAATACTTTTACCATGGTACTTTTTTTTGTCAGAGGTGCCAAGATGGGACAGAGAATTTAGAGTCGATATGGACAAAATGTTCCATGTTGTCCATATATTTGGTGTCAAATGGCCCCTGGGACCAGGATCTGTATTTAAACATTAAAATTGAGGACAATACCTATGATTTTTTTTTTTTTTTTTTTTGAAATTGAATGAATGGATAGTTTCTATAATTCAGATGCCAAAAACTGAAGCTAGGGAATGAAGACAGTGTTGGGTGCCTATCCATGAGTGACTCATTGTTGATGACTCACTGTCCTGTTATTTTCCAATTCATCCGGTGTCATGTTTGTTTATATGTGTGTATTTTTTGACGCTGTACCAGTAACCACATTTGTACCTCTTTTTGGCTACAGAGTCATTGGGTCTCACCTTTGACACACAAACTAGAACCTGTTAAACATGATTTTACTGGATAGGATCCGTGTGATTCCTCACACCTACAATGTAGTAATGTGACTGAGATGCATTTATTTTGGAGGGAGTTTGATATACTATATAGTGAATGTATTGTATTGCAAGTCTTTTGTAAAGTGCTTTTGAAATTATATTTTCGTACTGTATGTTTTTGTGGAAAATGTTTTGTGGAACCGAGGCAATTTGTATGCAAGATGATGTATGCGTGTTTTTGTGAGCGAGTGAGTGAGAGACTCTTTTGAGATGTCTTTATCCTTAAGCTGCAATGTAAACTTTAGGACAATGTTACAAAAATAAAGAAAACAAACAAGTATGGTGCCTGTTTCTGCATTTTATTGTCCATACAGTGTCGACGCGATGATTGGTTTGCAAGGAGAAACGTTCAAACTGCTGCTTGTAGCATTCTTTATTAATAAACATACACTTGATACACACAGACACAGAGCAACCCTAGGTTAAACGTCCTGGCATACTTACGGTATGAAGCATCAGCGGTGTTGGATAAATGGATTTTATTTTATTTAAATGTAAGATAGATGTCTGATAGAATGCTGGAAATGATAACTCCATCTAAACGTTTAATTGGTTTAATGCAAGATGTTTGAACCAATGATGCACTGAAAAGTTGCTGCTGAATTCATAGCTTTAGTTTTAGCACAGTGGTTCTCTGGATTAAGGATTTTTTTTATTTTTTTTTAGCCGAGCTTCAAGGAAGAGTTCACCTAAAAACTATTATTTTGTCATCATTATCATGTAAAAATAGGACATTTTAAAGGTAACTGGATTATTGAAAAAAGGTACCAGTAGAATAAATGGGACTGCTTTCAAACTTCATAAATGTAATGAATTCCTTGAGCCACAAAATCGGTCTGAATGATTCATTCACAGATCAAACTGATTCAGTTCTTTGGCTCAACCTAAATATGTTTAGACATAATATGTTTATTTTTATGATTTTTATGGTGTTTTTGTGCCCTTTTTGAAGTTTAAAAGCTCCAGTTCATGTGTACGTGTAAAAAGCACGTTTCGTTTCGCAGAAGAACTTCATATGGTTTTAGGCCCCGTCCACACTACTGCGTTTTCGTTTAAAAACGGAGAATTAAAACGAAAACGATCTCCGTCCACACTAGCTTTTTACCTGCGTATTAGAATTCATCTCCGTCCACACTAAAACGACTGAAAACGTGGATCACGTGACCATTCACCAACACTGGGCATGCGCGTGCCGGTGTAAACAGTGGTTGGCGAATCAGGGAAAGATTGACTGATGACTGATGACACCCAATCATAGAGCCGAGCGTGAGCCTCTGCGTCATCGTTTGTAAACTCCTCCGTTTTGTCTCGTCCACACTAAAACGCCCTCCGGAGATTCAAAACGCAAAACGCAGCTGCAGCGTTTCTAAACTTCTCCGTTTTAGGTCTTCGTTTTTCCCGTTTTAGTGTGGACGGGAGGTGCAAACGTAGCAAAAGGTCTCCGTTTTTAAACGAAAACGCAGTAGTGTGGACGGGGCCTTAGAACGACATGAGGATGATTAAATGACAATTTTCATTTGTAGGTGATCTGTACCTTTAAATGAGTGTATTAGTAAATGGTGTTTCACAAAGAAAAGGTTCACTGCCTCCGAGGTAACAGTTTTAGTCATTTTTAGTGAATAGGTTTTTATTAATTATCGCCATCTCTTTTTTTGGCCGAATAAACTTCATTACATCATTGGTCCTTTCAAATAAATACTTCATTTTCATAAACAATATCCTAAAGCTCTCTGCTCTCATTTTACAGTAGTACACAAAATTTACAAAAAAAAGTGCTTTACATTATTTTTTCACATCTATAACACCTGAAGACCATTAATGTAGTATTCTGTACCTAAATTAATGTTTATGTTCAAATCAAATATTCTGATGGCGAGTCCTCCTGACATGAGTTGTTCAGCAGTTACAACAAAGTGACAATATCAGCGTGTTTCGAACCCTGAATCACCTGAGGCGTTTTATATTGAACTAAAAGCAAACATCTATTGTTTTCATCTCTAATCCAAGTTGTCGAAGTTGAGAACATTGCCATCGAAGTGTGTGTGCACATGCTTTTCGTAGAGATGCTGTTGGCAGTCTAGGGGAAACTGCTCGCTGCAGACGGGACACACCCTCCAGTGAGACTCGACGTGTCGTTCGAAACTGCTTTGCTCAAAGTGTGGTGGGAAGATCACCTCACAAAGGGGACATCGCTTATGAACGTCAGGTCTGAGTGAGGATGACAGAAAGAAGGTGTTTTAAATAATGTGAGAAGTGTTTGGAATAAATGATATTGCTTATCACTTACTGCATACTACACAGTACTGTTTACTGCGTACATGCAAGTTCACAGTAGAAACTTATGACAGAGTAACCATTTTCATCTAGAGCTGTCAAATTGATAAATCGCAACTAATCTTATCTAACATAAAAGTTTGTAAATATATATATATGATATATACACACACACACGTGTGTAAACACATATACATTTACAAACGTTTATGTTTTTATGTCGACTTAACAGCACTAGTTTAAACCGTAGTACGCTAAACTGTCACAATTCAACAATTGGTACTCAGTTGTTATCTCAGAGGGAGAAAAAAAGCATTTTATCCCAATTTTGTGTACTTTTAGCAGTCAGATTAAAATATATATTTACTTATCAATTCCAGGGCTGGTTCAAAGCTTATTGGTTAATGCACTACATGGGTTATTATTATTAACTTAAACTAAAATAATAAAAAACAAATGCATTACTTGAAATAAAATAAACATTAACTGAAATATATTTTTAAATACACTTCTTTTACTCAGCTACAGTGTAGTTGCCAAGGCAACATTTCTCATTTTCATTGATTTCCACAAAAAAAAACAAAAAAAAAACACTGCACACTACAAAGAACATACTGTAGTATCTACAATATATATATTATTTAAAGGAGTTTATAGAACAAACTATTCATCTGTAATAAATTGTGTGCTTCATCGTCACATGACCTCAACCTGCATGTTTATTCAGCAAATGACCGTTCTCTGACAGTTTTGTCCAGCAGCATGTGTCCAAATTAAATCTGCTCATCATATAATGCAATCGTGTCTCTTAAGAAAATGTGGACTAAACTGCTCAATTCAAATGGATTACTTTTACAATTCTCTATTTTTGAAGCTGCAAAGTGCTAGTTGCATAGACTGTCAATAAAGGGACAGAAATCTCTCATATTTCATTAAAAATATCTTCATTTGTGTTCCGAAGATGAGCGAAAGTCGTATGGGTTTGGAAACGGTCCCGATTTTCAGGATTAATAGAAAGCTACAGGCAGGTGAGTTTGATCAGGATGGGAGCTAAACTCTGTAGGAAAGCAGATATCGACATCCAGAGTTACCCAGCCCTGACCTAAAGCTTTCTGCTCTCATTTTAAAGTACAAGTTTTAGTTTAATTTCAGTACACAAAATAAAATATTACGTTTCAAAATAATAAAATAAAAACTGATATTACTAGTCATTCGTCACTTTGGAAATGGAGAGTCAAGTGGGATACGGTAGTTTGTACAGTGTGCCACAGTTTTTAGTAAATATAGCACTTCTAGGTATTCTATGCATACAAACACCATACAGTAAACATACTGCAAACATAGTATGAGTAGTATGGTAACATTCAATTCTAAACATTTACCTGGTGTCAAAACAGAAGCTTGTGTGGCTCTCATTAGATTCCAGGCTCTGATGATCACAGACTGCAGGGGCCTCACCATCACCTCCCTAAGAAAGATATAAAACCAAAATGAAATCATTTCTTCTTGACTGAGACATAACAATACTATGTTCTTCAGCGGACACATTTAGCTAGCTGTCGCCTCTCTATTAAGACATAACAGCTACGATCTCTCCCAGCCACACACACACACACACACTTTCGACGAAAAGCCACGCCTGTCTGCACACAGCCGGCTTCCTGCAAAGGTTAATGGGCTTTTAACGCAGCAAACGAGAAAAGAGGAGAAAGGGGTCAGTGCCGATCTGCACCCTCAAATATCACAGGCCGGCACCCCCAGCCAATTAGCATAGCCCTCGTCAACATCTCTCTCTAACGAGCCTCTCCCCTCGTCACTCTAATCCACTAACGAGCTCAAAAGAGAAAAGCCTTAATTGCCGTTTCATGCAAATTAACCACCTCTGTTTTCACCTGTGAACTGAGGTCTGAGGGTGCGGGGAATGCAGAGGGCAGTGAGGAAGAGAAGACGGAAAAAGAAAAAGAAAGGGAAAGAGTTAGAATCAAAGGACGACAAGGTGCAAGTCAAGAGGAAAGGTCGAAAACAGAAAGAAAGGAAGAAGTAGAAGAGGTTGCTGAAGAGCGACAAAAAATAATTGCCACATATCAATTTAAAGACTGACAATAACACCCAGTTATTATCTCTGAAGCTTACGTAAAGCTTCAACATCGATATGGATAGATACGATAATCAAATGACTGTGCAAAAATGAATTTTCGATCAATCGCATCCAAAATAAAAGTCTGTGTTTACATAATATATTTGTGTGTTTTATATATAAACACACACACATGCATGTATATATTTAAGAAAATGTGTTATTCATTTATAAAATATTTATATTTATATAATTTAGATTATGTATTTATATATATATATACAGAATTTAAGCGCAAATAATTCTTAAATATATACATGCATGCATAGGTATTTATATATACAAAATAATTATATACAGCACACACAAATGTATTATATAAACACAGACTTTTATTTTGGATGCGATTAATCGCAATTAATTTTTGCACAGCCCTAATATATATATATTAGGGCTGTGCAAAGATTAATTGCGATTAATCGCATCCAAAATAAAAGTTTGTGTTTACATAATATATGAAGAGTTCAGATGCAAAAGCCTCTAAATGCCATTTGAAATTTTCTTCTTTAATGATGATTTTTGTCAAACTTGTATATTTAAATTTACTGAATTTAAATATACAAGTTTGACAAAAATCATCATTAAAGAAGAAAATTTCAAATGGCATTTAGAGGCTTTTGCATCTGAACTCTTCATATATTTGTGTGTGCTGTGTGTGTAATTATTTTGCATATATAAATAAATATGCATGCATGTACAGTATATATTTAAGAATTATTTGTGCTTAAATACTGTATACATATATATATATATATATATATATATATACAAAAACTATATTATATAGATATAAATATTTTATATATGAATAACACATTTTTTTTAAATATATACATGCATGTGTGTGCATTTATATATACAAAATAATTATATACAGCACACACAAATATATTATGTAAACACAGACTTTTATTTTGGATGCGATTAATCGCAATTAATTTTTGCACAGCCCTAATATATATATATAAAATATAGAGTGGTGAAGGTATAACGTCAGAATCCGGAAGTCTAATTCGCTGCTGGTTCCTTTAAGATTTTTTTCTATGGGGTTTTATTCAATGTTTTTTTTTTTTTTTTTTTAAATTTATATGTAAAATTAAAGCCTGTGGTAAACATAACTTGACTTTACTTTGACATTTTGTTATAATGTTTTGAAGCAGTTTCTAATAACAAACTAGATAAGTCAGCTTGGGGTGTGAGTGTGTGCAGAATACGTAAAAAAAGGTCAAAGTTAAAGTTATGTTAACCACAAGACTTATTTTACTCATAAATGATTTTAAGGAGGACAGCTTTTAGAATCTCCACGAGTTCAACACCATATTCAACAAGAAACTGTTACAGAAACATGAAGCAGTTCCAACTTTAAAACCAGAGGCAGCAGTTGTTGGGCCACAACCTGTAAGTAGGCTAAGACTTAACCATTTTAAATGTATTTGCATTCATAAATCCAGACGTTGCCTTGTGTTTTAGTTTTTTTCAAATGCCAGCGCTAGCTTTATTGCCAATAGGCTATCAGTTATGCTATTTTGTGTCTACGACAAACGCATACAAACATGAATTTTGTATAAGTGCTAATGTTGTAAATGTATTTATCATGTATATATGCTTTATGACGTTATTTTCGATTTGATCAAGAACGTAAACTTGCCACCGCTGTTTGAGTATAACATTAGCAGCCAGTCAGTTGCTATTGTTGCCAGTCAGATGCTATTGTGTTAAACAAACGTGTATAAAGTTTAAAAATGTAGCAAATTATCATTCAGAAACGTTTATTAAGAGCCGTGTGTGGTGAGGTTCTTCTGTTTGACTCTCTTCATCGCGGCTTTCTCGGTCTGATTCTGCCTCAAACTGTTACTGCAGTTCGACGCATATTTACATCTGGACCGGAGCTCATGACGTTCCCATTTCGCCCGTAAAGGTAATGGGCGTTAACTTTCCGGACAACGTAAGCGACAGTTTAGCCAATCACAACACACCGGGCCAAGCTAACCAATCTGAGCCCACGACGTGTTTCTGAGGGAGTGGTTTCATAGACTCAGGAAGTGAACCGCTCGTTCGAGGACAGAGGAGAGCGCGGCTGACAATAAACGTGAAGTTTATGAAAAATAAGACTTTTTAAAAACGAAAAACCGCAAATGCATGTTATATTGCACCCCATAAACACAATCATGCAAAAAAAAAAAAAAAACACACTCTACCCATCAAGCACTACATATAGTAGTCTGAAGTTACATTAAATCAGATCATTTCTATTGTACATCTCTGTAGCTGCCAAAATAATGTACACAACAGAAGCTGTTGTGGTGCTTTTTAAATATTTCCACTGTCCTTACACTAGGCCGCTCTTCAGGGGGATTCTCCAGGCCGTCAGGGGGGCTGAGACTGCGTGATGGCTGACTGCAGACCACAGGACCGCCCCAAGGTGGTGGAGCCAATGGAGGGGGGCGACAGGTTTCTTCTGGGGATAATGCACCATCTGCTCCATCTGAGGAACAAGAATTCAGCAAGTTTTGAACAGGGTTGTTACAAATTACATAAGTAACTAGATACTGAAACTTTCTCGATAATCTACTTACAAATACACTACACTATATATATATATATATATATATATATATCAACAAATAGTGTATTTGTTTGTGGCCTTGGGGGAGGGAATGGAGGTTAACGTGCCAGACTGCAATTTATACTGTGTGTGAAGAAAACGTCTCATGTTGAATTCAGGGCTATCGGAGTTAACGCAACAACAACGCATTAACAGTTAAAAAATAGTGTCAAAAAAGCATGCTGTATTTGAACCTATTAATCACACGTAGTTCCAGTGTTGGGTGTAACTAGCTACTAAGTAATTAGTTACTATAATTTAATTACTTTTCCCTTGAAAATGTAAAAGTAAGGGATTACTCTTCATTTATCTGTAATTTAATTACAGTTACTTCTGATGTAATTGAGGTAAATATTGTGTATAGATCAATCCGATCTCACAGCGATTCGTATGCATTTTATGAGGTGTCTAAATATTTCGACCGCACTCGTACAAATTCGTATAAATTATTGTAAAATATGTATGGAAAAAGTGTGAAATGTAATGAGATCAGACACAAAAAAATAGTGGGTTTAGCATCAAAATATATTGTCTGACGTTAAAAAAGTATGTTTTTATAATGTAACCTTCTTCACCTTGTTCAGTTTAAGGATAATTCATGCAATTTTATAGTATTTTTTTGAAAGAATTAAAACAGATGTCTATCCTTGTATTATTCAGCTGGTTGAGATTGATATGGGATTTTGAAAGTAATTAGTAATTAAAAGTAATTAAATACTTTTTAGAGAGAGTAATTCGTACAGTAATCTAATTACATTGTTGAAGAGGTAATTAGTAACTAGTAATTAATTACTTTTTTAGAGTAACTTACCCAACACTGCGTAGTTCAAGCCAGGGTTTTGACGTGATGCTTTAAAGTGACGTGACAATTTGCTGTTGCGCTTCATTTCAAGCGGCAGCACAGAGCACAAGTCTTTTCTACCACTTTGTCTTTAATACAAGTTATAGCATGAAAAAACATGCATGAATATCAAAAGGTGTTTTGAAAGTTGCAGTAGAACTCCTGAAATGTGTCATGTCTTATGTCTTAAGTAAGTTAATTATAGTAATGTACCAAATGAGAGGGTTCACTGTATAGTTTAAACTTTACAGCATTAGTTGGGAGAGATTGTTTCACCCCTTTAAAAAGAAATGTATTTACAAGAAATATTATATACACTTTAGAAATATATTTTCTAATATTGGCGCCCCGAAAAGTCTAAAACCGGCACTGAAGGTTAGAACATAAAAATGTTCATGTTCATGTTAGTTGCAGTAACTAATGTTAACAGATTTGATCTTAAAAATGTATTAGTAAAAGTATGCTGTACTACTATTGCTCATTGTTAGCTAATGTTAACTAATTTAGTTAACTACTAGTTAATTAATGTGTTAACAAATTAAACCTTATTTTATTATTTATTTACAACCCCAATTCCAGAAAAGTTGGGGCATTTTGTACAAATGCAATAAAATCAAGAATCTGTGATTTGTTAATTCTCTTGAACCTTTGTTTAATTGAAACAATTTCAAGTAAAAACAGTACAAAGTAAATATTTCTAATGTTTTCACTGACTAACTTAATTGCATTTTGTAAATATGAACAAACTTTGATTTTGATGGTAGCAACACTCCAAAAAAGTTGGGACAGAGGCATGTTTGCCACTGTCTCAAGCCTGTTTTATGCTTCTGCGTCGAATCGACGGCGTACCCCCGCAGACACCTATCCGTCGACGCGAACCCCTCTCCGACCCCTCCGCCGTAGCTCGACGTGCACCTCCAAAAATTTGTAACTACGTGTCGAGGCGACACAGACAGCAAGGGCTTTGATTGGTCAGATTAAACATAATTTCAGGAGTGTAGCTTTTCCGATTTCCCCCTCCTGTTATAGCGCTATTTTTAACATTTGCACCCTCGTTCTTTTAATTATAACACTCTTAAAGAAAGTAACGTTAAATAAAGAATTAAACTAAAAATAAACTGTTTTTTTATTTCATTGTTAATATATATGTCTATATTCTTTTCTTTCTTTCTCGCAACGTTTGTTTTGAAACACAGTTTGTTGTTTATTATCAATACAATGTTCACGGTTACATCATTGATAATACAGTACTAACCAAGTCTGCCACGGGACACATTATCCTGCCATAGCACAGTTCCATGTGGAGACTGAAAAAATCCTTCAAGTCATTCCGAACAGGTATCGTTATGGCAGCTCGGGTGGAACCTTTATTTTACCGTCTATGGGTGGAACGGGCCCTGGACATCCGTGTTGATTCTGTGGGGATAAAGTTTAGTGTCGTCTTGTTATTCAACGTCGATTAGCTCCAGCTGGCAGCTGCAACAACATTATCTCTCTTTCGCTCGCGGCGCACGGAACCAAAGAGATTCGCGAACCCCCCTAGCGTTCTGGCGGCGAAATGCACCGCGAAGCACCACAACCTCACGCAGAAGTATAAAACGGCCACGACGCCGTAGTAGTGACGACGTAGCTACGCCGTGGAGTTGACGGAGAAGCATAATGAGGCCTTCACACCACCCAGATAGCAAACTGACATTGAATCAACGTGGAAATATGACATCGAAACAACGTTGATCTGACATTGTTTTGCTCATCGAATTAACGTTGAACCAAGGTCAGACGCGTCATTCTTTCAAAACTAACGGAAAATCAAATTGAAATCAACGCGTTGTTTCAACGTTATGAAAGCAAACCAATTTTAGATTGTCATTTAGCTTTGAAGAATGCCGCGTCTGACGTTAGTTCAACGTTAATTCGATGAGCAAAATCAACGTTGTTTCAATGTCATGAGAGACGTCGTTTCCACGTTGATTCAATGTCAGTTTGCTGTCTGGGCACCTTTCCTTTTAAATACACATTTGAATCATTTGGGAATTGAGGATACTAACTGTTGCAGTTTTGCAAGTTGAATTTTTGCGTAATCTCGCCTGATATAAGACATCTGCTCAACAGCCGGTGGTCGTCGTTGCCTGATTCTGCTTTTGATGATTGGCTACACATTTTCAATAAGAGACCGATCTGGACTGCAGTCAAGCACATCCACTCTACAAAAAGTAGAGTGTCTAAAAAACCACAGTTGTAGCACATGCTGAATGAGGCCTGGCATTGTCTTGCTTCCCAGGAAAGATGTCATCTTGATGGCAGTTTATGTCTCTGACTGTACAATCCCAATATACGCCTCCATGTCAATGTACCTTCACACACATGAAAGTATCCCATGCCGTTTGCACTGATGCACCTCATACCATGACAGATGTTTGCTTTTGCATCTGTCGTTGATGAAAGTCAATGGTGAAAGACGTAAATTCTTGGCAATCTTGCACTGAGAAATGTGATTTTTGAATTGTTTGACAATTCTCTCATGATATTTGACACAAAGTGATGAGCCATAACCCATCTTTGCTTGCAAAGACTGAAAAGCTTTTTTACAGTCAATCACGATACCGTCTTCTATTATTGAGGACTGTTTTAAAAAGAGTTTAACTTGGATATTCTATAATCTTTTCACTTTTATTTTGCATCTGTCCCAACTTTTTTGTAGTGTGTTTCAGCCATCAAAATGGCTGATACACACTATATTTACAAAATACATTTATGTTGACCAGTGAAAACATTGGAAAACTTTTCTTTGTATTTTTGTCAGTCTAAAAATAAAGTTTAAGAGAATTAACAAACATCACAGATTGTGGATTTTATTGCATTTTACAAAATGTCCAAACTTTTCAGGAAATGAGTTTGTAAAATAAATGAATAGAATATAGCAGACTGAAGGGCACACCCACCTCGGGTCTCTTGCTCTGAATAGGGGTTCCCATACTGCAGTTCAGCAGGCTGTTGGGGTACCAGTGGAAGAGGAGGTGGGTCTTGTGGATACGGTAGTGGGTAACGCAGCACCACTGGCTCTCTGACCTTTGAATTTCGACTTCCTGCTGTCTCTCCTCTGTTCATACACTGCCGCAACTCCTGTAAGAGAAACAAAGAGTCAACGAAATTATTTGTAGAATGCATCTCACATGATAACAAAGTGAGTTCTCAACACACCCGACAGTAGCCTGGTTAAAACCAGACCATTCTCAGTTGTATAGACAAATCATTTTCAGAGGGGCGTCACCAACAGACATCGCAGGTAGACCTAAAACCAATCAGAGCGATGAAGGGGATGATGTATGCAGAGCTGCGGCGGGCGGAGAAACATCTCCGAGTGTTGGTCTTTGCTCGGTTTTTAACAAAAAAGGAAATGTTCAAATCGCTTAAAACAGACGCGATAGCTGATTCGAATGAGTGATGTTCGACGGCGGCATCCATATTTGTAATGTAGGCTACAAAATCTAGCTTCAAAATCCCAGCGCTGTCGTCATCGTGTAAAGTCCGCCCCAACGTTTCTGATTGATGCCGCGATTTCGACGGATTACTAACTTTCAGAGCAAATCTAAATTTGCCGGAAGTTATCTGGGTTTTCCCAGGCTAACCTGACAGGAAACACTTTTATTTATTGCTAACATCAGTAAAACTCAATACAAATTTGCAACCACTAAAAATGACTGAAATTGCAAAAGGCTTGATGAAAATAGGCTTGCTGTTCAAAAAACAAAACTGCAATAATCTCATTTTGATTGTTACAAATGAGACACAGGCTATTTAAACACTACATAACCTAAATAAAACTGCCTTTGGCCAAAAAATTCCAACCAAGAAATTGAAATCTTGAGTACTAATGTAACGCATAGTCAATAATACCAGTCTTTAAATACTACTTAAACAGAATATAACTCAATTTCCTTTTTTACTCTTTTTCCTGTTATTTCTTCCCCTCTCCTTTGACCCCATATCCATAAGCCATGATTAGAAGAATTATTCACACATTTAACATTTAACACAAGTGCTGATGGGTAATCAGGGAACTGAATGTGGCATTTAGCTGTGACTCTTGGGGCTCAAACACTCACACTCAGTCTGATTTCAGTGTCTTAAGTTGCTGAGAATCAAATTGAGGTATTTAATATTTAAACATAGTCGTTAACATTTAGCCGATAGAGCTAATAATACCAGCTTTGGAATAGCAAATAAATAACAAAAGACACAAGTATATAGCAACAAACTGTTCATTAGAACATAAATGACAAGAACAGGTTTATACAACAAACGCTTACCTTTTCCAGTCTCTCCTTTTCCCTGGTCACCACCACAAGACTTTCCCTCAGAGCGGACACCTCTCTGTCCTTCTCTGACAACTGAGTCTATGAATGAATTCATATCATTAATTTTGTGTGGCATCTGGACATATATTTTATAGCTGCACCTGAAAGTGAAGTGTGGGCACCAATTAGAGTTGCAAAAAGTCATAGATCAATTACTCATCATGTTGTTGGTCGACCTGGTTGGGCAGCTAAAACATACAGACTCCAACTGCTTTGCTGCCTCAAGTGTTACAAAACTTAACCAACACACCTTTAAATTCCAGAATTTGTGTAAACATAGACGAGAAGTCGTTATAGAAGTTTAACCTTGATATTTAATGCATCACAGAATTTGGACGTCAGGGCTCCAAATGCAACTAAATGCCTGGCATTTATGCCTCTGACATTTTCTGACCAACAAATTTAGATCAATATTTTGAAATGACTGGTTCAAGGTTTTTTAAAACAATTTTACAGAGGGCACACTCAAAAGCTGGGAGATGGCAACCCTCTATATGGACACACTTAAGCTCAAGTAGCCATTTTCTAGTATATATATCAGGGTTCGTACACCTTTTCCAAGGTCAAATTCAAGCACTTTTCAAGCACTTTCAAGGTCCATTTTAAAGTTTTTTCCAGGACCTTATTCACCGTAAATTACAAACCAATACATAGTAAAAAAATATTATTTTGCGGTTTTTCCACATTAAAAGTATGAAATAAACAGGCAAAATTGTGTTTCGTAATAGCAGAAGGATCAGATATTGAAGCAAAACACAGGTTTTATTTTTCAAAATGTTGTTAGAGGATTTGATCTAAATGACATGCAGTAGGGGTGGGCGGTATGACCAAAATTCTGTTTCACGGTATGACTAATTTTATTTCACGGTAACGATATATTTCACGTTATAGTTATTTATACATGTAGTTATTCTCCAAAAATCATCATAAAGGGCTTTATATACTAAATAAACCCAAATACTTCAGAAATGAAAAGTTATTTTCCTTGTTTGACTCTTATTTGGCAAATAATTTATTTGGCAAACTATTTTGATAGCTAAATATAGTGAAAAAACATATTAACTTTTAGAAGAACTTCCCCCATCTGACTGATATTAAATACAACTCATAGGTGCAATTAAACTTTAAATAAAGTGTTGCTGAATCATTTTTCAATCTCATGTTATTGCTTACCTTATCAATCAGTTTATAATATCAAAATATTTTATTTTGAACTATTCTATTCATAATAATTTAGTAACTTCCTTTTAATTTGGTAGGATAATATTAGCAATACTATTATGTTTAAATGTGTTCCCCGGTACATTTTTTGCCATGTCTGCTTATTATACTTAGTTTTTTAAGGGGCTTGTTCTGCTCTTTTTGTACCTGGAGCTTTCAAGAGACGTTCAGAATCAGTTGTTGTGTCAACTGTCAAGTTCAGAAGTGACTAGAAGGAGAGCAGCAGTATGAAAACCGTACAGCAGCTACTGTTAATGTTGACTAAGCAGTTATACACACCTATATTATACACACCTTGTAACTGCGTCATTATTTAATATCATGTTACCACAGCCGGGGTACACACTGAAACACCGAGCTCCCTCTCAGTGCGCGCGCGTCCTTTGCATCAGTAAAATGCGATCGGTTCATTTGAGCGTCAGGTTGTATCACGGATCGAATCAAATGAAGATTTTATCAGCTGGTTCAGAGGCCAATTGTTTAGAGTTAGAAATGTATAATTCGCGCTGCATATTTAGTAATTTTGCCTCAGGTACCGAATCCGAGACTACCTGGAGGAGGTGCTCCGAGTTCGGCTGCTCCCGAACCATGCCGCGGTTCGCGTGAATGTGAAAGAATCACGGACAGGACTCCGGTGCGCACTTAGTAAAGTGACCTGTGCATGCGTTTTACTTTTAGCTGATTATGATGTAAAATAAAAACACATGTATAAGGGATGATAGTGTTGATGATTTACCTTGGATACGAGTGAGAGTAAGTCTACAGTGTATTCGCACACACATATAGCGCGTGGACTCAGGCTAACAAATTATTAGAAGTCCACTGCCTCCTGCGTTTGCAATCAGTAGACAGCCAAATGCGATACACAGTAAACCTGTTGTTCACTCAGCTGCGCATAATAACAACACAATATATTGACCCGCGTTCTGTTTTCTATCATGCGTCGTGCACGTTTGTGATGACGTAAGATGCACGCAAACACACCAGGATTTAATAGAATCAAGTTGAGTGTGAAACCAGGCCAACGCTGCGGGGGGCGCCGGTAACAAACGCGCTCGGGCCGCAGCAAATGATTTATTTCGCCATTTAATAAACAAAATATTCAGTCAGATAGGTATTTGTTGTGAAAGAAACAGTTACAATTTCAAGCACTTTCAAGCATTTTATCCAAAATTTAAGCACTTTTCAAACCTTGAAAACACAACATCAAAATTCAAGCATTTTCAAGGATTTCAAGCACCCGTACGAACCCTGATATATATATATGAAGAGCTCTTTTCCAAAACGCTATAAATCCATTTCAATAGTTTTCAGGAAAACTAAAATTTTTTACCTAGACCCACACATTTTGTGAATATTCAAATTATCCTGTTTAAATGTTTTATTGGTTCAGTCTGAACATTTTGAACAATAATTATTAAATCAAACAACAATATTGTTAATGATAATTTAAAAGTTAATTTTATTTTTTTCCAAAACGCTATAAATCCATCCATTTTTTGTATCATTTTTAGTAAAGTCATTTTTAGTAAAGAGTCAAACCTCAAACAAATAGTACCAATTTCAACATATGCATGAAAAAAACGAGTTATTAAAAATGATCAATATATGATAACGATATTCAAAAAAGGGATGGGCACCCCACCAGCACATGCACACACACACAGGCTACATAACATGTGAGCAAAGCGGAGCAGCATGACGCTTAAATATAAGTTAAAAAAAAACAAAATAAACATAAAATATACGTTTCACATTTGTTTTTAATAATATTACATTACTTATTTTTATTATTTCATCTATGTTGAGTAGGCTATGAAAAGGGAACCGCATGAGATGAGTAAGATAGGATCAAAATTCAAAAGCTGCCCAATATCGGAAAATATTTGGAGTGCGTCAGACATGATTTTGACCACTTATTAAGTTTTGTTTTGTAGAAAGCTTGTAAATTTCGTTTCATATAAATTGTATCTTCATTTTAATAAATGTTAAATCGACAATTTGACTGGATTAATACATTAGAAGTAAATATCAGACAATATAATCAGGACACAGAGGCGCGCAGGTGAACCGGAGCGCGTCTCATAATATGAACCGAAACACCGCGATGCTTGCCTCACACAGGCCTGAGAACTAAGCTACAGAAAGCTTTAAATATCTACTTTTAAACAAAATAATTAAAAACTAAAATAAATTGGCAACTCTCTGCGTATGTAGGCTAATTCGAAGTATGCGTTTCTATAGGCCTATGCGCGTTCACTGCGAAGATGGCGAGTAAGCATCATCAACTTTATCTTTGCTGCTGACACTGACAGAAAACACTAGTTTATTAATAAACAATTCAAATGTTTCATGGATAATTATTACTTTTGCCGGTTCTTTGTGGCAAGCTTTATGCATACGTTGAAATGCGGAATAGGCAATTAAAAACGCTCATATGGTTTCTCTCCCATTTAATTAAATCAATATATGTGATTACTGATAATACAAATGGCTTAAATGATCTACTACTAGTCGACTAGAAAACTAGGACTCATTTTGAGGAATGAATGAACATAATAAACCTCTGTTCAGAGTGCCGCCGTGCTGGATTGCGTGGAGCGCTCATTGAATTTGAGGATTTATCGTGTTTAGGCTAAAAACAGGGCTGGCGCTTATCGCGGCTTGGAAAGAAACTGTATCTTGCAGTACATTTTAAACAAGGAAATATAGCGATTTGGCATGAAACGTTGATGGAGCAGTGAAAGGGTTCTGTCCACAGCAGAATGACACGACAAACTCGTTTTTTTTAAAAATGGCGTTTATCGTGTTTTGGAAAAGAGCTCTTCATATATATATATAATCTTACTCTGCAGACTTTTTAGATGAAATGCAAGATTCTGTCAAGAGCACTAATTTTTTGCAGTCAGTCTGTTTGATTGTTTGATTAACATTAAAAAACACAGACAGCAGCAGGAATATTAGGCTGTTGTCACTTTAAGATATAATGCAGGGATCCAATATACTGAGACTGTCCACATGCGTTTTATTTCTCCACTGTTTACGTTTACCTAACAGCCAACCAATTATGTTTACTATGATACTCACCAAGGCTGGCATTTAGACATCATTTTGTGTGAAATTGTCCGTTCATCTATTAATCTTTTTGCATTTTACAGAGAAAAAAAATCATTCATAGCTTGCGAATTAAGGTTTGTATTTAAAACATTTTTGGTGAACTATCCATTTAAATTGGGATAGTTCACCAAACTAAAAAAAATTAAACTGAAGAAGAGAGCTCAATTCAGCATTTGTGCGATGTCATATGCAGCTTTATGGGCACGTGCTCCAGATGTGCAGTTTGTGCACACAAAACTTCACACATCATGCACAAATTATCTTTTGTGTCTTCTTGTGCTTGAGCATTTAAATTGTCAAGACTTAAAAATGCATGCATTTGATAGACTTTCATGACGACACAGCACTGTTCCAATTGGGACAGTGACCGTTCAGTCAACAAGCCCTGCATGTGCTTCCTCTATCTCACTTGGTTAAAGGGTTAGTTCACCCAAAAATGAAAATTTTGTCATTAATGACTCACCCTCATGTCGTTCCAAGCCCGTTAGACCTCTGTTCATCTTCAGAACACAGTTTAAGATATTTTAGATTTAGTCGGCGAGCTTTCTGTCCCTCCATTGAAAATGTATGTACCTTATACTGTCCTTGTCCATAAAGGCAATACAGACATCATCAAAGTAGTCCATGTGACATGAGTGGGTTAGTTCGAATTTTTTGAAGCATCGGAAATACTTTTTGGTCCAAACATAGCAAAAACAACGACTTTATTCAGTATTGTATTCTCTTCCGGTTCTGTTGTCATTGCTCGTTTCCAATCACGATTCCAATGACGCTGCTGACGTGTTATCTTGTGCGCCCGATTAGGACAATTAGGACATCCGCGACATGCACACTTTCAAACCATTTTTTAAAAATATTGCAATACCAAAATACAAACAATATAGAAAAGCTTGAATACAGCGCGCGTCTCCATCAGACTGTAAACGAAGCTCGGGCGCACAAGATTACACGTCAGCTGCGTCATTGGAATCGTGAACGAGCAATGACAACAGAACCAGAAGAGAATACAATGCTGAATAAAGTTGTTGTTTTTGCTATGTTTGGACCAAAAAGTATTTTCAATGCTTCAAAAAATTCGAACTAACCCACTCATGTCACATGGACTACTTTGATGATGTCTGTATTGCCTTTATGGACAAGGACAGTATAAGGTACATACATTTCCAATGGAGGAACAGAAAGCTCTCAGACTAAATCTAAAATATCTTAAACTGTGTTCCGAAGATGAACGGAGGTCTTGCGGGCTTGGAACGACATGAGGGTGAGTCATTAATGACATAATTTTCATTTTTGGGTGAACTAACCCTTTAATTAAAGACATTTTTTAGTAGCCTCTCATGAAATTTGGTCACATATGTGAGTTATTGTAAATAAAACATGTAACATATGTTACAGTGACTGTAAAATTGTAAAAGTATTACATACATTTTTTGTAACATTATAAATGTCTCTGCTGTCACGTTTTGATCAATTTAATGTGTCCTCGCAGAATAAAAGTAGGTGGTCTAATGCCCTTTTCATAAGATGTAAAAAGTCTTTGATGTCCAAAATACTCAACAGCTCAAAATACTCAACAGATATTTTTATATAGCATGTTAAAATAGTTTTTGTGTCTGTTCCTTTAAATGCCAATGAGCTGCTGCTCCAGGCACAGAGGGCATGGCGAGCTCATGTCCTTTTACCTCACACAGACATGCACTGAAAATTTCCAAAACGTTTAGCCTTTTATGTTCAAACTGGAGTTCGACAATAATGGAGAGACTCAAGAAGAGGTGACAACATGTATAAGCAGTAGATTAATTTATGTAGCTTGTAGTTATCTTCTAGTCATGATAATCTATAAATTGTGTTCCAGGGGCAGGGTTTATGCAAATTTTAAGGGTTTGTGATGTCACTAACCCGGGAGGAATGTCATGTAGTCTCTACCAGCCGTTTGTTGTAGTCCTTAAAAAGCAATTTCTTTCAAAGAAAATATCTCCCTTTGCTTTGAACTTTGAGAGTTGTAACTTTGCAGATGTTGTTTATGTACAAACAGCAACATTACACACTAACTAAAGTTAGAAAAGTGAAATCATAATCAACCACCCCTTTAATTTCTTTTAAACGTACTGACCCCAAACTTTTGAATGGTAGTATATATTAGACATTTTATAGACATATTTGGATTTTGACATTCACCTTTGTATCAAAAAGAGCCTGGACAATCTATTAATTTTTTTTATCTATATCTCTTTTTGCATTTTACAGAAGAAAAAAAAAATCATTCATAGCTTGCGAATTAGGGTTCGTGTTTAAAACATTTTTTGTGAACTATCCTTTAAATTTAAATCCAGTCCTATATAAGAGTGTAGGTTTAAGTTTATTAACGGAGACGTCAAGTTTGAGTGAGAGTATGTATAACTGAGACAAATTAATAAATGGGCTGCCTGCAACCTCCTTACTATGTCTTTGTAACTAGAGATCTATCATCTAACAGAGAAAAAAAGCAAAGACTACTAGCTTATTTTCTGCTGATCTCATTCTATTTCTCTCTTTCTGAGTTAAAGAAACAGGCATTTACAAATCTTGTATATGCCTGTTTGGGTTTGAAGTTTAGTTGAAATGGCTTTACTAAGATCTTACCCTGCTCTGAAGTAAACAGTCATAAAGCATCCGGTGAGAAAGTGTGTACGCGTTTAAACATGCTGTAAATAAAAGACTTTCCTTTTGATGGTGTCTCCAGCTTTGTCTAAATACTCAGACAAGAAGAGACCTTTATGACCCCCTTTCCACTTGGCCAGCTCTGTCCTTTATGAGTTCTGCTGCACACACACACACACACACACAAACTGACGACTGACGGAAATGTGATACCTCAGTGAAACAGACCTAAAATAAAACAATCAACCCGTGGAAGTTTTTCTCGTGTGCACGGACATCTTACGCAAATGAATGTAAGTATCTGTGGCTGGCTCTTCTCTGTGGGATTAAAGGAACCTGAATCGTGCATGTGCCCCTGTGTGTGTGTGTGTGTTTACATACTTGAAACTGCTTCTTCTCATTGGCTAGCAGAAGCTTCAGGTTTTCATTGACGGTGCACTGCTCTCTCCATTTCTCCTCCATGCTGGCAAGCTCAGCTTCTACTGACACGCTACACTCCTCCTCCTCCTCCTCTTCATCATCATCTTCCTCCTCCTCCTGTCCAGTTCTACCTTCATCATCCCTCTGTCTCTCGGCATCTCTTTGCATTGAAGGTTTGATCTCAGCAGGATGTTGATCTTTCAAATATAAGATGACAATAACAATAACAGCCAATAACAAACAATTATGTACATTTTGAAACCAATAACAAATATATTGGCCTATATATGAAATGTACTTTACATTTTCTGAGATCAGTTACAATAAAAATATTAATATGCTTCAGAATACACAACTACGAACTATTGAAATAAATATATATAATTCAAAAGTTATGTTGTAAAATATTACAATTTGAAAATGACTTTCTAAATAAAAAATGTAAAAATGAAATTTAGTCTTGCGTTGGCTGAACATTCAGCATCATTACTCTAGTCTTCAGTGTCACATGATCCTTCACAAATCATTCTAATATGTGGATTTATCATCGATGTTGAAAATGGTGGTGGTGCTTAATATTTTTGAAATCTTTTATTACTGTAAACTTCTACGAACGTTCGGTTATATAACGGAAATAGTTTGATGATGTGTGATGGAGATTCATTTCTGAGCATGTCAATACCTATGGGAGGTGTCTCTGCATCTGGGGTGTGTAACTCCAGTGTGGTCTCTGTAGAGGCATCATTCCTGCTGGAGTCCTAAAACACGTACAAGATTTCTCTCAGAACGTGATGTCATGCTCTACAAGGTCAAACATTATTCAGAATTTATTAATGAATTTGCTGCATTTCCGGGGGGATATTTTTATTGCTCATGATAAAATACTACTGATTGGTGATTTTAATATTCATGTCTGTTATACATCTTTAACTTTGTCCAGGGAGTTTTTAAATCTTATTGAGTCTTTTGACCTTGTTCAGTGGGTATCTGGCCCTACGCATCAACAGGGTCATACTTTGGACTTGATTTTAACCCATGGACTATCTGTTTCAGATATCACTATTAGCAATGCCAATTTTTCTGATCATATGCCTGTATTTTTCTCTGTTCCATATTCTGGTCAAACTCTAAACAATCAGTCCATGGGGCGTATGTTAGATTGTCTAAATGAACTGAAGTCATGGCTTTCAAGTAATTTTTTAAACTTAAATGAAATTAAATTAAATTATTATTTTCGGCCCCAAAGAAAACTGCGTTTTCGATTTTGACCAGGGTTGTCTCTCCCCTTATAACACAAAGTGTGCCAGAAATTTGGCAGTGTTTCCGCTACATTCATTCTCCCGTGGCGGGCCGCCACACTTAAAATCCTCCCGCCACGGCTGCAGCTTCTCAGTGACGTCCGACATTCTGCATATTGTGTTATTTTGTTAAGCCTAAAGGCATAAAAAAACTTTGTAAAGCACAATCAAGTTTTCACACTATACTCCAAGACTTCTAAAGTCATTCAATAGCATAATGTGTGGTAAAATTAATATTTTAGTCGCTGAGTTAAAGTTAACGGAAAGTCATCTCGCCTCAGTCATTCTCCATTCAGCATTCACACAACACGTCGCGTTCGGTTGCGACAGTAACACGACGACACTCTCTTCAAGATCAATGTTCCCAATATTATACTTTATTTGTAGATAAAGCATAAAGGTCTATATTATTTGCATAAAATGACTTTATCTTGCTGGAGTGGAGTTTATTGCCCTTTCTAAATCACATTCCCTTCTCCCGGGTGTATGATTACAGCATTGGAGTCGAGAGAGTGCGCTATTGTTCTTCATGCGCGCTGAAATTTAAAACTGTTAAAATAAAAGGCTCAAAAAACTGTTGCATAGATAGAATACACTACGCATTAGTGCTGCAAGATGAATCATATCGCAATCGTAATAGCGATCTCAAACCTATGCAATTATAACGCAAAATGCCGCGATTAAATATTAAATAAACAAATTAGGACTATTAACGCAGCATCTCTTCTTTTTTGTCATCCTTTGACCAGTCATGATCCCGCTCTTATTCGTGCAAATGCCTTTTCGCATTTTGCACGACAAGAAGTGAAAAGCTGCCTGTGAATGCCCTAGAATATATGAGACTCGCAGAAAGACGCGTGCCATAATGCGCATGCACTGACCGCGTGCCAGAATATACAGTTCTCTTTCGAGCTTGAACGAACAATAGCACACACAATTATGCCAAAATGTCGTTTTGTCTAGTATCTTCATAACATAAGAAGTCTTATGGACGAAAAGAGTTGTGCGCTATGAGGCGCGTGAGATCCGCGTCTCGGCAACGGGTGCTCTTAAAGGGCCAGCGGCGAATAAAGCGTTCTGTCAGTAAAGTTAATCAAAGAACGAAGGGAAATTAGAAAATTACTCACTGATCTTGACTAAAGAACTTTTGTAGCTTTAATAAGGATTATTCTATATATAAATAAATGTGACTTGACTATATATAATTTATGATTCATGCAGCGCAGACTGTTTGATAACTTTATTTAATTTCTGTACCTAATAAGACAGGAAGGGCACAATAAATATGTTTTTTTATTATGGGTTTATGTGGGGATTATTTAAAGTTCACTTCATCTAAAAGATGCAATTTTTTTTAAGCCTATAATTAAAAAAAAAAGTTGATAGCTTACAATTGTAATGATGGAATCACTTTAATGTTGGTTTGGTTGATGGTTTATTGATCATTATAGGTGTTATCAATCATTTAGTTGTTGTTTTTAGTTTAAGTTGAGAAATAAACATCAATACACAGAATGATCACTAATCTGTGTGTGCATTTTACTTTAGAACCAAGCAAGTTGGACTCATGAAACCATTTTATTATATCAGAATCGCAAATCGCAATTGCAATATTGGCTCAAAAATGGCAATGACATTTTCCCCAAATCGTGCAGCCCTACTAAGCATAGATTTAATCCCCTTCCCTTCGCTATGTTCTTTTCAATGTGAAGCGTTGCGTGCTGTGACTTGGTGTTGCTTCAAGTGCATCATTCTGCACACGGGATGCGCATGATCGCTTATAATACTTTGGGGAGACAAGGGGGCGTGGCCTAAGGGAATATCACTCGTGGGCCACGCCCCCTCCCCCTGGGGAAATGGGCCTGCCCCCACAGCTTGGAAAAATCCTAGAGGAAACACTGTTTGGGCTTCCTTTTTGACTCCAGTTTAAACTTTGATAAACAGATCTCCTCGGTTATCAAATAATGCTTTCATCAACTTCGCCTTCTCAGTAAAGTGAAGCCCGTCTTATCCAGGAGAAATTTGGAAACAGCTGTTCATGCATTTATTACATCGAGGCTTGATTACTGTAATTCTCTGTATTATGGTATTTCTCAGGCTTCCATCTCGTGTCTACAGTTGGTCCAAAATACTGCCGCTAGACTACTTGAAGGGAAGCGAAAGTTTAACCACATAACACCTATCTTAATGTCTGTGCACTGGCTCCCAGTAAAGTATAGGATTGAGTTTAAAATTTTATTATTTGTCTATAAAACTCAGAATAACTTGGCTCCAGAATATGTAACTGATCTTCTGACTCCGTACATTCCTTCTAGAAACCTGAGATCCTCTGACCGTGGCCATCTTACAGTCCCTAAAGTTAAACTCAAAAAATATGGTGAGCGTGCTTTTGCTGCTGCTGGGCCGAAGCTGTGGAATAGCCTTCCTCCAGCAATTAGGCAAGCTCCATCTATCTGTACCTTTAAATCTCAACTCAAGACTCATCTATTCACCCTGGCTTTTAACACCCTGTAATCTGTCTTCCTGTTTTCTCTGTTTTTCTATTCTTTTTATTTATTATTATTTTTTTTGAGTGCCTTCTTGTCTCGTTTGGTTTTAAGTTTGTATTGCAGTTTTATATCTGTGTCTCTTTTATTCCTTGTAAAGCACTTTGGTCAACTTCGGTTGTGTTTTAAATGTGCTCTATAAATAAATAATTGATTGATTGAAGGTCATTAATCATTCTAAGAGCATAAGATTAATTGTTGCGTTTTCATGAATTTTACAACTGGGTGGAGCCACAATTGCAGTAGCTCACCCCCTGCTGCATCTCCTGTTGCTGAGTTAGTTTGGTGACTTGTCTTCGCAACCGTTGGCACTCTCTGTATTTCTCTTTGTAATGCTCTGCAGCCATATTCAGACGCAGCTTTAGTTCCTCAACCTCCTTTTGTAACTCCGCCTCCAGCTCTGACACCACACCCACTCCAGCCCTACCCTGAAATTAAAATAAAGCATAAGAGTCACCTCTCAGTTCACATTGTGTCTAAACAAACCATGAGGTTTTTTTTTAATTGTTATTAATAGATCTTCTCAGTCAAATAAACATAAGGAAAGGTCAGTTGTGGTTACCACTTCCTGTGATGCCTGGCTTCTCATCCTGTCCAGCTGATTCTGAGCATGCCTGCATTCTTCCTGGGCTTCAACTAAACAGGCTCGTAGGTCCTCAGCCTCCTGGCGGGCACGGTACAGCTCAGCCATGGTGCGATCCCGCCCGCCAGAGGCGTCACGTAACTCAGAGCCCAACATGGCTGCCTGTTGCCGCATGGCCTGGAGCTGCTCCTCAGCTTGACGCAACCGCTCTTTAAGACCCTGGAAATGCACACAAATGACTTAGAAATAGGACGCATGATTTACAAAACCAGTCAGAAGTAGAAGTGCAATAATTAAGGAATAACTCAGATTTTTGATGTATTTTTTTCAGCTCACCAAAGCTGCATTTAATTAATTCAAAATTTAGTAAAACAGTAATATTATGAAAAAGTAGGCTAATAATTTGAAAATTCAGCTTTTTCATCGCAAGAATAAATTACATTATAAAACATATTACAATAGAAAAGTTCTCTCAAATATTGTTCACAAATCTGTCTTAATCAATGACTACCCAGACAGCAAACTGACATTGAATCAACGTGGAAACGACGTCTCTCATGACATTGAAACAACGTCGATTTTGCTCATCGAATTAACGTTTAACCAACGTCAGACGCGGCATTCTTCAAAGCTAAATGAAAATCGAAAATTGGTTTGCTTTCATAACGTTGAAACAACGCGTTGATTTCAAGTTGATTTTCCGTTAGTTTTGAAAGAATGACGCGTCTGACGTTGGTTCAACGTTAATTCGATGAGCAAAACAATGTCAGATCAACGTTGTTTCGATGTCATATTTCCACGTTGATTCAATGTCAGTCTGCTATCTGGGTACGTTTACATGCAGCCAATAACCAGTTCAAAACTGGGATATTAGCAATAACCCGGTCGCGAACGGCCATGTAAACACCGGCAAAAACCCGAATTTGCTCATATCCCGGGTTTTAAAAACCGGGATATTATACCTTTTCTAACCCAAATTTTTGGTCATGTAAACGCGTATCGGCATGTCCGCAAAGTGATTTGTGTTGTGCGCATGTTCTATTCGCAAGGAATCTCTGTCTTTTGAGTAGAGAAACTTCTCGGCGCATACAAAAATCCGCGCGAAGAATACCGGAAGTAAACATGGCGAGACCAGGTGAGACACAGCTCAGCATACTTTTGGAGCGAGGTCAGTAACATTACCAGCATCAAAGCGCAAACAAAGGCGACCGCTATCTGCCCCGAACTATTATCTGCGTGCTGCTGTTGTTGTTGTCTTTAAATACAGGAAGAAGAATCGGAAATGACGCATATTGCATCTTAAGGTTGTCTGTACGTCCAGACGCTAACCGCGCGTCACCGTTTACATCGGGATATTGCAATTCCATGTATACAGGAGAAACTCTCTCTGCTCACGCATGTAAACAGGTTATTCATAATGTTTCAGAAACCCGAATAGTGACCTCAACCCGACCACAACCCGAAAATTGGCTGCATGTAAACGTAGTCTGTGTTAGTGAGCAGTTCTCCTTTGCCGCGATAATCCATCCACCTCACAGGTGTGGCATATCAAAATACTGATTAGACAGGATGATTATTGCACAGGTGTGCCTTAAGGCCAATTTATACTTCTGCGTAGGGTGCGCGCAGTAGGTACGGCGTAGCATACGCAGAGACGCGTCCCATACCGCGTACCCTTCGCCGTAGCCTGACGCGCACCTCCTCAAAAATGTAACTACACGTCGCGACAACGCGGACCGCAAGATCTGTGATTGGTCGGCTTGGTAGCATCGCATTTCCTCCTACGCATTTCCGCACGTGCCTTCTCACGCATTTCCACACGTACCATCTCCTCCGACGTCTTCTCTCATTTCTGCCTTTTAGTTTTAGTAATTTCACTAAAATTAACTGTTTTTCCAACTCAATAAGCTCCAAGTCCAACATGATCCGCTCTGTTTCAGGCTTGTAATAACCTAGCCGCACCTCGGGGAATGTAAACAGTGGAACATTAAAACCCTCCGCCGCCAACTAGCGTTTCGGAGCAGTACTGCAGAGCAACCAAGACCTGAACGCAAAAGTATAAATGCTCACAAAGGCGTCGCCTACGTGCGTAGCCAACCCGTTCAGAACGGCGTACCCTCGACGCAGAAGTATAAATTGGCCTTTAGGCTAGCCACAATAAAAGGCTACTCTAAAATGTGCAGTTTTATCACACATCACAATGCCACAGATGTCCCAAGTTTTGAAGGACCGTGCAATTGGCATGCTGAATGCAGGAATGTCCACCAGAGCTGGTGCCCGTGAATTGAATGTTAATTTCTCTACTATAAACCGTCTCCAAAGGCGTTTCAGAGAATTTGGCAGTACATCCAATCGGCCTCACAACCATCGGACCAACACTCCACAGACAGCAATCAACAACCTGATCAACTCTATGAGATGTGTTGCACTGCATGAGGCAAATGGTGGTCACACCAGATACTGATTGTTTTTTCGGACTGGTTTGACTAACAACCTTTTCATTGCTATTAAAGTGAAATTACTGAACCTAAACATAGCGTGATAAAATGGTTTTGGCACTGGAAGTCTTCATATATTCTTTAAACAGACGTCTCTTACGGCATAAGTGGGGTCTGTGTCTCTATCCGTGCGTAGTCTGTGCAGTTCCTCCTGGTACCGTGCGATGGTGACCTCTCTGTTCAGCTCCACTGCCTTCAGCATCTGCAGCTCTGCACTGAGTTTTGTGTTTTCCAGCTCGGCGCTACGCACATGAGACTGCAAGTGTGCACACACAATGTGGATGAATGCATGTCATACGATTGATTAATCACACTTTATAACCTGTAGATCCTACATACACTCACTTTGTTAAGATCCCTCTCGTCTCTTTCATTCTTCAGTTGAGTTTGCAGACCGTCCCTCTCAGAAATCACCTTCTGCAGCCTGTTTTTTAAACTGGATGACACAAAAAATGAAATGCAGCATATAAATACTCCCCTTTCCATATATAGAACATAGAGAATAAAAGTCTGGGATTCAAAATCAAATTCAAACCTGAAAATAACCGAAACATTATGGAATAAAATTACGATTTTTTTTTTTTTTGTCACCTGTCAAGTAATCAAATTTGTGAGTGACATTGATCAAGTGAACTTTTTTGTACAAATGATTAGATGTTTTTTACCTCCACTCATCTTTGGATGATAATCTAAAATCATTCTGGAGAACATGATCATCAGGTTTATAAGTATTGCTGTCATAATGCATTAAACCGTTACTTCTTCAAATCAATTTTCCCTCAAATTATTATGCTGATAATAGAAAAAAAATATTTTTATGGCACCTTTCACAATATATATTGTTTCAAAGCAGCTTCACAGAAAATTCTTCTTTCAAATGTAAGGCAGTATTCAATCAGAAATAAAAAAAAAAATCTGACTATGCAGTCAGACTTAAATCAAATCGAAAAATTAAAGCATTTTAACTAGTTGTCTCAGACATATGGAACCCACTGTAAATATGTAAATAATATTAATGTCAGGTAATGTGTGTATGGGCCTTACCAGTCCAGTTCAGTCTCTTTAAGAACAGCTTTTTGTGTGATTTCTAGCAGGTCTTGTTCAAGCTGTCTTACTCTGGCTTGAGCCTCCTCCTTCTCCTCACACAGGACTTTCTGCAGCTCCTGCTATTGGACAGCAAATGCTATCAATCATAAGTTTAGCATAGCTTCCAGCCAATCAAAATCCTCAACAGCAAAAAAGATGCAACTGCCAAATTAGATTCAAAAGCGTTCCAACCAATTATTTTAAACAATTATATATATATATACACTCACCGGCCACTTTATTAGGTACACCTGTCCAACTGCTCGTTAACACTTAATTTCTAAGCAGCCAATCACATGGCGGCAACTCAGTGCATTTAGGCATGTAGACATGGTCAAGACAATCTCCTGCAGTTCAAACCGAGCATCAGTAAGGGGAAGGAAGGTGATTTGAGTGACTTTGAACGTGGCATGATTGTTGGTGCCAGAAGGGCTGGTCTGAGTATTTCAGAAACTGCTAATCTACTGGGATTTTCACGCACAACCATCTCTAGGGTTTACAGAGAATGGTCCGAAAAAGAAAAAACATCCAGTGAGCGGCAGTTCTGTGGGCGGAAATGCCTTGTTGATGCCAGAGGTCAGAGGAGAATGGCCAGACTGGTTCGAGCTGATAGAAGGGCAACAGTGACTCAAATAACCACCCATTACAACCAAGGTGGGCAGAAGAGCATCTCTGAACGCACAGTACGTCGAACTTTGAGGCAGATGGGCTACAGCAGCAGAAGACCACACCGGGTGCCACTCCTTTCAGCTGAGAACAGGAAACTGAGGCTACAATTTGCACAAGCTCATCGAAATTGGACAATAGAAGATTGGAAAAACGTTGCCTGGTCTGATGAGTCTCGATTTCTGCTGCGACATTCGGATGGTAGGGTCAGAATTTGGCGTCTACAACATGAAAGCATGGATCCATCCTGCCTTGTATCAACGGTTCAGGCTGGTGGTGGTGGTGTCATGGTGTGGGGAATATTTTCTTGGCACTCTTTGGGCCCCTTGGTACCAATTGAGCATCGTTGCAACGCCACAGCCTACCTGAGTATTGTTGCTGACCATGTCCATCCCTTTATGACCACAATGTACCCAACTTCTGATGGCTACTTTCAGCAGGATAATGCGCCATGTCATAAAGCTGGAATCATCTCAGACTGGTTTCTTGAACATGACAATGAGTTCGCTGTACTCAAATGGCCTCCACAGTCACCAGATCTCAATCCAATAGAGCATCTTTGGGATGTGGTGGAACGGGAGATTCGCATCATGGATGTGCAGCCGACAAATCTGCGGCAACTGTGTGATGCCATCATGTCGATATGGACCAAACTCCCTGAGGAATGCTTCCAGCACCAGCCACGAAGAATTGAGGCAGTTCTGAAGGCAAAAGGGGGTCCAACCCGTTACTAGCATGGGGTACCTAATAAAGTGGCCGGTGAGTGTATATATATATAATGTTTAAAATAATTGGTATCTGTATTCTGTACCAATTGTATTGGTACCAATTGTACCAATACAAATAATTGGTATCTGTACCAATTGTATTGGTACCAATTGTACCAATACAAATCTGTACCATTGGTATCTGTATATCTGTATATATATATATATATATATATATATATATATATTCTTCTAACAAACAGTTTATATGTTATTAGTCTAGTACAACAACAAAGGGTCGTCTGTAGGGAATGACAGAATTCATAGACACTTTTAATAATGTGGTAGTTTACAAGACACTTGAAGAGAAGAGAAGAAAACTATGACCAAAATATTCCAGTAATTAGCCTGATTGAGTCAATCCCCAAACTACATTTTTCCAATAGTATAATGTCAGAATGAAAGGAAGGGGGCTTCAATTTCACTTTTGTTGCGGTGGCTCATATTTAACAGTCGTCATCAGTAAATCACAGTAACATCTGGTTCTGAAAGCACGCATACACGCCTTGTCCTCCGGCTAATCTGGTGACTAGTGGTGTTTTACGGCCAATGATGTTTCGGAATTGCAGCACAGGCAAATAAAATGTGCGGTCGTAAAATTAGCAGCCGCAAAATATACACTTATGTTTTCAGGATAAAGAGGAAATCTATTTTCATATGTAAGATCTGACAGTTTAACAGACACACGCACACTTATGGCATATGAAAGGGTTTGTGTGACTGGGGTGTGAGAGAGAATTATAAAAGTGTTAATGTTTTATTTGTGGTGTTCTTTGTCCTTTGTGACACTCATAATTCACACTTACACACTTCAAAAGGGTCTCCAGAAAAAAAACACTAGGGGGCGCTGAAAGACCAAAAAAAAAAAAAAAACCAACCAAATCTTATCCTGGTGTTTTCTGGGCCCTTTTTGAGTTTAATATGCTTGCTGTGCACGCAAACATCGGCACCACATCACAACCAAATGGAATGACTTTTTTTTTTTTTTTTGCATATTCTTTGCTGATGTTGAGGAAAAAATGCAATTTTGTGGACAGGATTTAAACATGGTACAAAGTATTAAATAGATTAAATTAGCCAAACATGTTTAAAGGGACAGTTCCCCCAAAAGTGAAAATTATGTCATTAAAGGTGCCATATGGAATAATTGAGGTAAAAATATCCGAAAAATGAGCTACACGCATCAAAAGAATGAGAAGAAATAAGTGCAATGATGTCATTAAAAAACTGACAAGTTATAGTGCTGCCGAGATATAAACCTAAATTAGCATGCTAAACTACTAGCCCCGGCCCGGCAGGTGTCGTAATACCAGTTTCGGCCATGGGAGGCGGTATGCGGGCGGGCAACGTTACCACCAGCCAAACTGCTGTACACGAGTGAGTCGCGCTCGTGCCAGCTTGTGTGTGTACTTGAACCTGATGTCAGTCGTGTGGAAATACAGCCCACTACTACATTTCAGTTCAGGGAAGAGTTCAAAAAATGACTGCTCGATATTATGCATGAGGAATACATTTTGGTAAGTTGTAGCATACCGTCTCTTTCAACAGAGTTCATGTTCTTTTTCCATTAGCTAGTAGAGACGATCGTTTCACGTGCACTGGGGATCTGTGGTGTAACATGTACAAGGGCCAAAACTGTATTTTTTCTTTGAATTCCGTAATAAAATTGACAGAATCTGAGAGCTTAACTAACATGCTTGCTAAGTGTCAATTGCGTGTGTCTCACGGTGAATTCGTTAAGAGTTGGCAGCTCTGAATGGCGCTAGCTTGATCAACATCAGCGAATGCTGTCTGTCAAATTAATTCAAACTAACAATAAAAGTGTAATATGAACAAAACGAATACCATAAACTTCAAATAATTGCCCAAGCTTTTATTTTCCCATGTCGTCGAAATGCACCAGCTTGTTTTTGAGACAGGCGTCTATGAGGCGGTCTTCATCATTTAGTGTTGAGATGTTGTTCATTAAATCTCTGATCTCTAAAAATCTCCAAATGCTCCACGTGAAACTGCGGTCTTCCAACCTTTTACTATCATGTCAAATGATTTGAATAACATGCTCGATGGTAGGAGCACAACTCATTTTCTGGAGTTATACTGCCCCCATCTGTTATGGAATATGGAGTAGGATTTGATTCATTATGTCAGATGGTACCTTTAAAGGCACAATATGTAATTTTTTTGCCACAAGAGGGCGCAGTTTCCAACAATAACAATAAGGCGTAGGTTGATGACGCAGTGATGAGCTGAATGATGGGACTTGATGTCAAGCTGATGGATCTAATAATGTTTATGGATGAGTGCAAACATTCATGTTTTTTAACATTACAGTGGTATGAAGCAGGTTGCTAAAGAAACAGATATCACAGGCGAGTAAAGGAATAAGGACATTAATTCAACGAACTACCTGCAAGTGCTGGATTTAATCACACAGGTCAGTTTATTATATGAATTAAACGTCTGAGGTAACGCAGCGCTGCTTCACTTGGTTTAACGTTACACTATCACACTAAACAGCATTTAAATGTCTGTTGAAAGTTATATATGTTATCCTACGTGTTAGTTCGTTTGATATACAAAACTAGCAGTAAGCTAGATCAACATTAGAATAACATATCTAACATTTCATCATGTTGAGCGAACGTTATATAACATTGATTTGTTTTATGTACATTTGCTCACCTATCTAATAAAGCTGACTCGCGAAGCTCTGTCAAGTCCAAGTTAGTCGCGGACATGGAGCTCTCAGCAGCTCAAAAACGCCACACTGATATTGATCCTCATTTTAGACTCTTCAAGTCTACTTGCCATGATCTATGTTTGAAAGAAACCATAGACATATACACTAGACCTCACCTTGGGGTTCTAAGCATGCGTCAAAACCGCCGCCATCTTGGAACAGGGGTCTTGTCATAGGAAGTAGCTAGGTAAGGCTGCTATCTCTGCCTTTACTTCGAATTCATTGATGGTGGCGGACTTTTGTGCAGCGTATGATGTTCACGGATGAAATCTGAACTAAGAAGAATGTTTTTTAAAAAAAAATAAAAATTTTGTTTTCTTTCTGGAATCAATGATAAATACATGTCTGACCGTTGGAACAAACCAAAAGAACAAGAAAAATCGCATTCATGATGATTTATGGTGATTTTATTTGCGTTAGACCTGCGTCTACTACATTGACGCTGATGCATTAAAGTGGAGGGGCTCCCCTGTTTCAAGATGGCGGCTCTATTGACGCATTCGTTCCAATGAACTGCCGTAGCCAAGGTGAGGTCTAGTGTATATGTCTATGGAAAGAAATAAGAACTGCGTGCCGCTAAACGTCGTGCACTACGCAGTTGTCCACGTCTGTCACCATGGTTACCTCATGGCTATGGCAGAATGAATGGAAACCAGGGATAGCGCGGATATTGCTTCATTGACAGGCGACATTTTTTTCTGGGACGGCCACTTAATTAATATAGGAATTTCTCTGAAATAAAATATCTTCGGAGACTTACACAAGTACTGCAGGAAATATATCATACTGTGCTAGTGATTTTTGGATATTTTATTACAAAATTCTTACATATTGTTAGCCTGACTTCATCATACTCGTATCCTAGTCAGAATGTGAGTCTGATACTGCTCCGAATCCTGTAGGAAGGACGCCAAACACATCTTTCCGATCAACAAATGCCTTGATTGCAGTTCTCTGTTCGTCTTTTAAAATTAATGCGCTGTCGATTTCTTTTACAACAAGCGCGATAGCATCTCAATTCTCCAGCTGCAGTCAACTTTGAGGGAAATCAGTTCAACCCAAGCGCTTTTTGATAAAGTGATGATTACGTAACTGCATATCATCTGTCCATCATCGTATAAAGCCCGCCCTGGCAATTTGATTGGAACTGATTATATCATAATTACTCCTCAATGGATCGTTCCCGACCAAAAAATTTGTGGGCGGGGTTCGGGCTGGGATCCAGACTAACATATTGTACCTTTAATTACCCTCACTTCTTTCCAATCCCATGAGACTTTCGTTCAACTTCGTAATGCAAACTGGATGCAAAAACTGGATCATCTTTATACTATATCCAGTGTTGACAGCGTCAGTGATTATAATGAGTTCTATTTGATGTGATGAGACACTCACATCCAGTGTAGGCAAATGTCAGCCGTTAAGCAACTGAATGCCAGTGGGTGGGGCCTATGGTCTGATGATGTACTATTTCCTGATGTCTTATGGAAATCTTTTTGCACTTGTGACATCACAGATCCTGCATTATCAAAACAAGCCATTTTTGGAGCTTGATTAAATAAAATGCTTTGTTCATGATAAGGAGGACATTTAAGCTATAAAACTAACAGGATGTAGACCTAATATGTCAAAAGATCAAGGCAAATTTGATTTCTCATGTCATGACCCCTTTGAAATATATTGCAAAAGAAAATGTTAAGAATATTTCACAATATTTTCACAAACATAAATCTTACAGACCCCAAACGTTTGAGCGGTAGTGTATATCGCCTACATTAAAAGTAACATGGTATTAACATATAATACATGTACCATTATACCGTCGCATTCCTGTCTTTTGTAAAGGACAGATAAGACTAATTTACATGTACAACAAAGAAAACAAGGTTTAGAAAATGCAGATGAAAATTAATTCTTAGCTATTAATGGGAAAGAATAAATATAGCGCCATCAACATTAACCAACAAAATGAAAAAGTTTTTTAAAAGACGTTAAAGCATTTAACTTGACATTATGACAAACACCCTCTCTTCAAAACCCCGCCTTCCAAAGGCACATCAGCCAATTGAATGCCTGCAAACCCAAAGACGCAAAATGATTGACAGTTAAAGATTGTTTCTGATAAACAATAATAAAAAAAAAACCCAGATGTGTTTCACCACTGTGTTTGTGTCTTCTGTAGCGTCTCAAACATGACACAGCATACTAAGAACGTGGAGCTAGACCTTCCACTACCAAACGTTTCTCTTTTTTAATAGCCCAAATGTGTTCTGTGTGAAAGGCCTCTAAGACAATTTTTTAATTTTCACAAAGCACTAGGCTGTCCCAAAGACAGTTGTAAATTCTCCGGACACCTTTCGGCAATGTCTATCAGGCACATTTTATGTGTGGCATTCCAAAAAAGAAATCACTTACAGCACCTTTAAATATCACCAAATCAAGTATGAAAAACAGAAGATGAGAGAGACAGAGAGAGGAAGAGAGAGAAAATCGCGTGACTGGCTGCTGTTGTCCCACTGAATGGGCAGGTCTCCTTTCAGTTGAGTGGTTTTGGTGGACATTTACTCCTGGCTGTGTGTTCACGATTGACGTCACGTCTACCCTCTGTGGTCGACATGGCACCGCCATGATAACAGTTGCCCAAGTCAGCTTTTCTCTGCCTCTCTCCGTTTCTCAAACTCCCAGCTCTCTTACTCTCAGTAAATCATCCACAGCACCATCAGAATTACGTATGGATAAATCACACGACTTTACGGGGAAGGTCAGTAATGCACACAGAGACACGCACAGCCATTATCTGATAAGATAAAGTGCTCTGTGGGAGTAAGTTCACCGTCAGTCAAACAGAAAGGCGTTTTACACTTGGAGACAGAAAGTCTTGAAGCACAAATGTGAACATACACACACAGGAGAGTGCTTTGATGTGCGGATAACTTGAACTTGTGATCTCTGGTGTGTTATATGCTGCTCAAACACTGTGTGTGTGCAAGCCATCTTTGCTGCTTCATTGGCTGGCCACCATTATATGCGAGTGTGTGTTTAGTACCTGGTTCTGTTGTCTCTGCCGCTCCTGGAGCTGATCTCTCTCCTGCGTGAGGAGGCGTAGTGCTTTCTGAAGCTCTTTGCACTCCTGTTGAACTTCCTCCACACGCTGCTGCTCACAAACACAGATAGTAAGCCAAAAAATAACACTCACAAGATCTGTTCCAAAAACTAGTGAGCTGACTTGCGATCTACATGATAGATGACTTGATTTGGACACTCAAAGTCAGCAATTCTCCACGCCACAAACAACTCAACTTATTTGGATAATGTTTAAAACTTCATTTTTGATAAGATAAAGTTTGATACTGTAATAAACAATAAGAACACACAAATAATGGCTAAAATAATCCATGTTTATAATAATCCTACTTTTTAGGGTGTGTTCATGTTTGGTTCAATTAAAATGAACTCTGGTTCGATTAATCTGTTCAAGCGGGCCAAGATGCGCTGAAAAGATGGGCCTCGGACCATTTCCAAACGAACTCGAATGAAATATGAACGCAACACGGACCAAAGACATTTAAACTAACCAAAAACAGGAAGCTGAGACCCTAAAACGGACAGAATGCTTAAGCATACCTGCTTTTTTGTAATAGTTGTGATGTTGCCATCACAGTTCGATACAGGCATCAGAACCGCGTAGCAGATGTTTGTTTGTGTGTGTGACTGAGGTATTCCTGCCACTGTTTTGACTCCTTTACTAGTCAAAATGCCATCATATATAGGCTAAACACACACAACAAGCTCATTTATCCCAGCACACAGCATAGTTTGTTGTGGATGTTCGGTAACTTCCATCGTGAAATATAGATAATAAAAGCCGACCAATCAGGTTGTGAACATATCCCTAAGCTATTATGTTCGGTATCTTTCAGTGATGCGCGGGTTGATCCGAAATGAGCGGGTGCCTGCGGTCACCCGCGGTTACCCGCAGTTACGGGTCATCCAAAAATGTTTTTAATGATATTCGGGTCGCGGTCGGTCGGGTCGTTTGAAAAAAGATGCCAATTAAACATTTGTATTAGTACTAGACACAATTTTTGATGAAATATACAGCCCTACACATTATTGGCTGAATAACTGGCACGACACACAAGCTCAGTCTAAACAGTTCTCAGTTCGAGAACCGCTGTCCCTGTGCGTTCGGTAGTACGCAGTATCTATGCGCAGTATCAGCTGCTCGTGCTCATCACTTCTCTCAACAGTGGCACCAAGTCTCGGTTCAGTGAACTGTTGGAGTTACTGGAGTAAAAAAGAATTCAGGATATTGATTTATTTCGATTCGGAGGCGACTGTCAGGCATGTCTGAAAGTAAGTAACTAACTTGTGGATCAGCACTGACGCAAGACGCGAACTGTTTCGAACGATTCAGTTTGATTTAGTGTAGGTTCGACCGGTTCACTAAAAAGAACCGGTTCAAAAGAACGATTCGTTCACGAACCGGCCATGTCGACGATCACTACAGTCTGCAGAGATGGAGGCGGCAAGAGAAAAGGTGAAGACTGGGGAGTGGAAGCTCCGCAAATACACAAATAGAAAGAGTAAAAGTGTGGGAGACATTTGCTGAAATAATGAAATATGATGACCAAAGTGCTGGCTTTGCCTTATTATGTGTAGGCCAGGCCTACGTCTTCTTGCGATGCTGTTACACGTCTATGGCCCAATAACGCTCCGATGAGCATTTACTACTTCTAAAAAATGCGGTCAGGAAGCGGGTCGGGTAAAATATTTTTTTACTTTTTTTTTGCGGTCCGAGTCGCGGGCGGGTAGTTGAAAACGTCGGTCGGTTGCGGTTTGTTTATACATTGACCCGCGCATCACTGGTATCTTTAGGTTCGGTGTTAAAATGCCAATGTGAACGCCAAGCGGATCAGGACTAAATGTTTTTTTTGTGTGTTTTTTTGGCCCGGAAGCGTACCAAGCAAAGTTATCTAACAAGTGTGTGAACAAACCATTAATCGAGGCTTTTTACTACTGAACCAAACAATTTTTTATGAATATATTCATTGTCGTTATGAATGTCATTTATTTTTAATCACTCTAATAAGTACCTCACTATGGAACAGGGCAAAGGTTTGCACTCTTGTGTGTGTGATTTGCATACCTCAAGTAGTCCGCTCTTTGTTGTCACAACCAGTATGTCCGAGTTCCCCTCATCTTCCACTGTCAGTAGCTCCTCCCCTGTGGGCGTAGCTGGGCGGAACTGGAACGGCGTGCTCGCACCTCTGATCTCACCCGTATGTGTGACGTAGCAGAACTGATAAAACTCACCATCACTACGGGGAACGTAATAACCTAGGAAACACCATCCAGAGTATTTGATTATCCAGTTTGTCTACCTGAATATAGACCATTTCACAAGATGTAAACAACACTGGTCCAGAAGCACTTCCTGTTTCAGTTTGTAACTGTTTTCTTTATTTCACATGTAAAGAAAACATCTTAAAGATGTTTGTTTAACTTTTTGATTTAGTTTTAAATGTTCTGTTGGTTGTATTTTATCCCAGCTTTTATGTAGTGTTAAAAAACTGAAACAGGAAGTGCTTCTGGACCAGTGTTGTTTACATCTTGTGAAATGGTCTATAGTCTTTAACTAACAACAAAAAAGCCGTTTGAAAACAAAGAAAAACATAAAACACTAAATCTCCCAAAAAAACAAAAAAAACATCAAAGATTAATTTAGCACCAACTGTCAAACAAAGAGGCATTATGTAGTATTGATTGCTAGTGGTTGAAATGGGTACTGCAGTCCAAATTCAAAATATTTGAGTGTTCACCCAAAAAGGACAATTCACCATTGGCTAAGCCCCGCCCCCTTAGTTACTGTTGCTACAGCTGTGACAGCTCTCCCTACTGAAATGTTATCAAACTTTTATGAAGCAGCAAATAAAGTGTCCGATAGAAGTGGGCAAAAGGGGCTGCAATATGCGTTCGGAGGCTATATTCAAGACTAGGGATGCACCGATCCACATTTTTTCACTTCCGATCCGATCCCGATACCCGACTTTGGATATCGGCCGATACCGATACTTTTCCGATACCAGAGCTGTGTTTGCTTTAATATTATTTATCATTATTGTTAATTTTATATGATGTTGAAATAAACTCCTCTCTACAGGCAAGGATGATATGTGCGTATGTATGTCAGTATATATATTAAACAATAGATAGACAATTAAACAAAGATACACATTATACAGGCCTACACAGTGCTTTAATTTCAGGAAGGTCTACTAACTGTTACGGAACAGACTCCAGAGTACACAGGGGAATTGATGATAACCAGCTTTATTGGTATAACAGAAGGTAAGTCACAGAGGGAATGGATGACAGTGCTGGACGGCGGAAGATGGATATGCCAATCGACTGTCCTTACTGGTGATGAGGAAGAATGGTGTAGGTAATAGAAGGATCTCTTGATGCTTTAGGAGAGGAACGGAGAGATCGCTGGAGATCGTACGGAGATCGCAGGAGCTTGGAGTGATGTATGGAGTAATCGCTGGAGATCAGGGATATCGCTGGAGATGCTGGAGATAATGGAGATAATGCTGGATAGCTGGTAAGATAGCAACGACGTGAGTCTGTACATCTACAAACGAGACCAGACAAAGTGACTGTGGCTAACGAGTGCTTAAATACATCCTGTGAAGAGTGTCTGATGTCGTGCAGGTGTGTGAATAATTAATACTCAGGTGAAGGTGATCTCTGTGATGATGTGGTGATGGAACCTGGCTGATCTCTGACAGTACCCCCCCCTCCACGGCCCGCTCCCGAGGGCCGTGGACCCCGACGTCGTGGTGGTCGACCTCTTCCTCGGGGTGCTGGGCGGTCTGGGTGAGTATCGTGGAAAGTGGTGAGGAGGGTCGGATCTAGTATATCCTCCCTGGGTGTCCATGAACGTTCCTCAGGTCCATAGCCTTCCCAGTCCACTAAATACTCTAGACGACCGCCACGACGTCGGGAGTCCAAAATTTCCTTGACAGTGTAGACTGTTCCATCCTCAAGTACCAATGGCAGGGGGGGTTCTTCCACAGGTTCAGGTTCTGTTGAGGGAATAGGAACAGGTGAGTAATAGGGCTTGAGAAGTGATACATGAAAGGTAGGATGAATTCTGTAGTGTGGGGGTAACTGTAGTTGGTAAGAAACTGGATTAATTTGCCGTGTGATGATGAAGGGACCAATGTATCTGGGACTCAGCTTCTTGCAAGGCAGGCGTAGCTTGATATCCCTTGTAGAGAGCCATACCTTCTGTCCAGGCTGGTAAATGGGTGGTTCAGCTCTTCGGGTGTCTGCCTGGACCCTTTGTCTGCGCACCGCCCTCTGGATGTGATGATGGGCGTCGTCCCAGACTCTCTCACTCTCTCGGAACCAATAGTCAACCGACGGAACATCAGAGGGTTCTCCTGACCACAGAAACAATGGAGGCTGGTAACCGAGTACGCACTGGAAGGGAGTGAGACCAGTAACAGACTGACGTAGTGAGTTCTGGGCGTACTCGGCCCAGCCTAAGAATTGGTGCCAGGAGTTCTGATGACCATGACAGAAGGTTCTCAGGAAGCGTCCAATTTCCTGAATCTTTCTCTCCGTTTGCCCATTGGTCTGAGGATGGTAACCTGACGACAAGCTAACGGCCACCCCCAGGAGTTTGAAGAAAGCTTTCCAGACCTGGGAAATGAACTGCGGCCCTCTGTCTGAAACAATATCCTCTGGAATTCCGTAATATCGGAACACGTGGTTGAACAGCAACTCGGCTGTTTCCAGGGCAGTAGGAAGTCCTCTTAATGGGATGAGACGGCAGGACTTGGAAAAGCGATCAACAATTACAAAGATGCAGGTATTACCTTCTGAGGGTGGTAGGTCAGTAGCGAAATCAACTCCTAGATGTGACCAGGGGCGTCGGGGAATGGGTAGTGGAAGGAGCTTGCCGGATGGAAGATGACGTGGGTTCTTGGTGATAGCACAGTCTGAGCATCCCTGGACGAATCTTCTCACATCCCTTGCCATGTTGGGCCACCAGAAGCGATCTTGAAGCAGTGAGAGGGTGCGATTTGCCCCAGGATGACCAGTGCCCACGGACGAATGTGCAGAGTGTATAAGGTTATTGCGTTGTGACCGAGGAACAAAGAGGTGATTGGGTGGACATCCTGGCGGAGATGGGTTAGCGACACTGGAGGAGGTGATCTGTTGATGTAGAGACCATTTAATGGGACTCAGAAGAATCTTTTGGGGCAAGATGGGTTCAGGATCCTCTGTGTTTTCCTCGGGATTGTAGAGACGAGATAAAGCATCTGCTTTGAGGTTCTTTGTACCAGGACGATATGAAATGTCAAAGTTAAAACGGGTGAAGAACAAAGCCCATCTCGCCTGCCGGGGATTAAGTCGTTTGGCCTCTCGGAGATATTGCAGATTTTTATGATCAGTGAGAACTGTGAATCTTTCCTTGGCCCCCTCTAACCAGTGTCTCCATTCTTCCAGAGCAAGCTTGATGGCTAGTAGTTCTCTATTGCCAATGTCGTAATTCATCTCTGCTGGGGAAAGTTTCTTTGAGAAGTAAGCGCATGGATGAAGACGGGCCGGGTTTCCCTGCTGCTGTGATAGCACCGCTCCCACCCCTGTAGTAGAGGCATCTACCTCTACGATGAAAGGCTTGGTAGGATCTGGATGGGTAAGGAGTGGTGCTTGTGTGAAGGAGTCCTTTAAGCTTTGGAAAGCTAAGGTGGCTGCAGGTGTCCAAGACAGAGACTTGGGTTTCTTTCGGAGCAGGTTTGTTAGGGGTGACGTGATGGTACTGTAGTTGGGGATAAATCGGCGGTAGAAGTTAGAAAATCCCAGAAAGCGTTGTAACTCCTTGATGGTGGTAGGTGTTGGCCAGTCCCGGACTGCATTTACCTTCTCCTCGTCCATCTGAATACCATGCTTACTAATCCAGTAACCGAGAAACTTTACGGATGGTTGATGGAAAGTACATTTCTCAGCTTTGAGGAAGAGTTGGTGTTTTCGGAGACGTTGGAGGACCTCCGCTACGTGATGGCAATGTTCGGCCAGACTCCGGGAGTATATCAGAATATCATCTATGTAAACGATAACGGAGTGATGAAGGAAATCTCGGAGCACCTCGTGCATGAAATCCTGGAATACGGAGGGGGCGTTTACTAAACCATACGGCATGACCAAGTACTCATAGTGGCCAGTAGGTGTCACAAAGGCGGTCTTCCACTCGTCTCCCTCCCGTATCCGGACGAGGTTATAAGCGCTGCGGAGGTCCAATTTGGTAAACACGGTGGCCCCACGAAGTTGCTCAAGAGCTGTTGGAACCAGAGGAAGTGGGTACCTGAACTTGACAGTGATGTTATTGAGTGCTCTGTAATCTATGCAGGGCCGTAAGCCTCCGTCCTTCTTAGCTACAAAGAAAAAACTAGACGCAGCAGGGGAAGTGGAAGGGCGGATGTAGCCTTGTTGGAGTGCTTCTGCAATGTATTCTTCCATAGCCTTCTGTTCCGGAAGAGAGAGTGGATAGATTTTACCGTGGGGCACTGGTTCATCTGGCAGGAGATCTATGGCGCAATCCCACGGTCGGTGTGGTGGTAGAGATGAAGCTTTTCTAGGACAGAAGACATCGCTGAAGTGAGCATAACAGGTGGGAATTTCCAGAGACTGTTTCTCTACTGGACTCTCGATGGATGTGGAGTGAACGGAGAGAGGAGTGATGGGTCGAGGCAGACACGTAAAACAGTTTGGAAAACAGTTATCACCCCACTTCAGAATTTCTCCGGTGGTCCAGGAAAGTGATGGATTGTGTTGTGCCAGCCATGGAAGTCCCAAAACGATATCAACAGTGGAGTTCTCCAGAACCAGGAGAGAAATGGATTCGCTGTGCAGGAGTCCAACCTGTAATTGGAGGGGTCCTATGGTGTAACGTACATTATTTTTGTTGAGTGGCTTACCGATTATTGATTGAACCTGGTATTGGACCGGATTGCGCCTCTTCGGGAGGTTGAGCTGGCGGCAGAGGGAGCCGGAGATGAAGTTGCCAGCTGACCCGGAGTCGAGAAGGGCGTAGACTGGAATCGAGAGATGGGAAGTAGAAATGGTTACTTGGGTAGTAAGCGGTTTCATACTGCTGGGGAAGCTCTGGATTACACTCACCCATGGACGTGGTGGACGAATGGGGCAGACGGAAATGAGGTGTCCTGCATCGCCACAATACAAACAGAGACCCTGGGTCATCCTCCTCTGTCGCTCAGAACGTGAAAGACGGGTGCTGTCAACTTGCATGGGGACTAGTTCTTGAGAACTGGCTAGTTCGGGTTGACGAGATGGAAGAGGTGAAAACTGACTCTGCATATCTCCTAGGCATGGTTGCATACGACGATCGGTGCGGATGGCGAGATGCATGAACCTTTCCAGACCAATGGCGTCGTCGTAGGCGGCGAGATGTAGTCGTAGCCCTGGATTTAAACCTTGCCGATAGGTAGTAAGGAGAGAACGCTCGTTCCACCCACTGGCTGTTGCTAGGGTTCGAAACTTAAGAGTGTAATCGGAGACTGAATCAGCATTTTGTTTGAGATGATATAATTTCTCACCCGTGGTTGAATCACCATCTGGAATTCCGAAGACCTCTCGGAAATGATCAATAAAGTTGTTGAATGTACGTGTGACTGCAGTTTCTTGATTCCAGATAGTTTGAGCCCAATGCAGAGCTCGCCCTCTCAATAAGGAAATGACATATGCGATTTTCGCGCGTTCTGTGGGATAACGCGGAGACTGCATCTCCAAAGCCAGTGAGCACTGTAGTAGAAATCCCTCGCACTCCTCCGCCACGCCAGAGAAGGGCGCTGGAGTGGCTATGGGACTGACGGTGGCGTGTGGCGAAGAAGGATCGATGTCGGATGATGCGGAAGCGGCTGACGACAGTGCATGTTTGAAGACGTCCACCAACTCTTCGAATGATTCAGGGGAACTCATTTTACAGCTGTTCTATTATATAATAGGGTCTGGTCTTCTGTTACGGAACAGACTCCAGAGTACACAGGGGAATTGATGATAACCAGCTTTATTGGTATAACAGAAGGTAAGTCACAGAGGGAATGGATGACAGTGCTGGACGGCGGAAGATGGATATGCCAATCGACTGTCCTTACTGGTGATGAGGAAGAATGGTGTAGGTAATAGAAGGATCTCTTGATGCTTTAGGAGAGGAACGGAGAGATCGCTGGAGATCGTACGGAGATCGCAGGAGCTTGGAGTGATGTATGGAGTAATCGCTGGAGATCAGGGATATCGCTGGAGATGCTGGAGATAATGGAGATAATGCTGGATAGCTGGTAAGATAGCAACGACGTGAGTCTGTACATCTACAAACGAGACCAGACAAAGTGACTGTGGCTAACGAGTGCTTAAATACATCCTGTGAAGAGTGTCTGATGTCGTGCAGGTGTGTGAATAATTAATACTCAGGTGAAGGTGATCTCTGTGATGATGTGGTGATGGAACCTGGCTGATCTCTGACACTAACATTATTCAGGTATGGTCTAAAAAAAATTATAATAAAGTAATCAAAAGTAAAATAGCACTGCAAAGCTTACCGTAGATAGATTTATGCTTATTAGAGCTGAAGTAATTCATTCAAGAGCTGTGAGTGATTTTCTCTTTGCCTTTTGTTGTTTGACTCTCAGTAATGTCGCAATCGTCACATTTTGCAGTCTGTATAATTTTAAAAAGAAGCATAAACACAACGAGGGGTGTCTGTTTTTATCTGTTTTTGTGACTAACGTTTCATTAGTATAACCATGGAGTATAAAATTCAATATAAATTCTCGGTATTGCATTGGACTCTATGATCGGCGGAAGTTATCGAGCATCCTTAATCCTTCACCGGAAATAACGCCGTGCATAGAGCCCATTAATCTTTGCACAGCCCTAATATATATATATTAGGGCTGTGCAAAAATTAATTGCGATTAATCGCATCCAAAATAAAAGTCTGTGTTTACATACTGCCCCTTTAAGAACGAGTTCAGATTTCATATCTACTGATGCACCATATTTTCTCCCAACTACTTCCATAACTACGTTCATTTTAGACTTAAACGGTTTAAGTGTTAATCTCCAAGCCGGTCGGTTTGACATTTTTCTTGTGCAGGCTACATTTGATCGTTTAGACGCGCATATGAAGCCCAGATTATAATTTGCTTGTCTTGTTGCAGTCTGTTTCGGAGCGCGCGCGCATTGGGAACAGCATTTCTTGCGCAAATTTTGTGCTTTTGATAGCTCTCTTTATTATTAAAAGTGTCCCGCAATTTAGCAACAGCAGAGCCTGCATTTTACAACAATCACAGATCGTGCTGATTCTGTCTTAAAGTTTTAGTATTAAGGAGAAATGACAGCGCACCGCCGCGATGGGAAGAAAGTTGGCTAGACAGAATGCGGCTATTGTTTTTAATGTTTTTTTACCTCAATATATTCTTTAATCTTTGGAAATCAGACTAATATCATAGATATAACCAGGCTACGTTTCCTCTGTCGTCACTCATTAAGCAGGGCTGTCGTGTTGTGCGTGCTGTGGGACTGCGTGAGAGATCTCTCTCTTTCTCTTCTGGACTGCGAATTGCAAACATGCATCACAGACAAATAGTTTAATTAATACGGCTTTGCAAACATTGCATTTTGCGGTCTTGCTCTGCTGCGGTGTTACCAGTGTGAAGTATTTCCACACAGCGAACATGTTGGTAGCTCAATCCTATCCTGCTAGCTGGCTGCAAACTGCGGAATGGATTTCCTGAGTGGGGGTCTGTGTGTCTCATTGAGCCCTATTTTTTACAGTCTATGATTGAGCTGCACCTCCGTTCAGGATATCCATTCCACAGTTTGCAGCCAGCTAGCAGACTAGCAGGCCCGGGGAATCCCTTTTGCAGTCATTTCAGCAGACAACGTTAAAGCGCAGACATGGATCATAAATATCGGATTTCTCCGCAGGTTGGAATGGAAAAATCCGATACGTGAATTACGCTGGTATCGGTCCCGATACCGATACTGGATCGGATCGGCCCCATCCCTATTCAAGACATACAGGTGAAACGCAAGAAACAACAAGGCATCCAAATAGGCTAGAGGCAAAAGCATAACGTTACCGGTCACAGTCCAAAAATGAACCACCGAAGATCCTAATCGAGACGGAGGCTGTGACTAACAATATCAGGGAGCAACACTGTTCATGCAAAGCTGGGTAGGTCTCTACTCACTTCTATAATCGTTATTACAAAGCAAACGGACTACACGAGTATAATGTTGTATTTATTAGCATTGTGTGCTAGCGTATCAACAACCGGTATGAGAACCGAAATCATAACCTAAAACATTATAAAACGGTCTACCTAACTAGTATAACTTCACAGTAAGGTTAGAAGTAAAAAAAAAGATGTGCTTGTTGATGTTTGAGGGGTTTAGCTGACTGAGGACGTCCATACAGTTTAATCCAAAGACGACACTTGTCAGGATTTGACTTCGGTTTTGGGAACCCCCCTCCAACCGCTCTGGGAAACGCGTATCTGTGTTACAAATGCCCGAGGCACAATGTTTAACCACATTTTTGATAAAACTACGACGGTAATAGCCTGCCGAGACCAAAAGTATGAGACGCCTGTGTTGAAAATCAATGGAGCGCTGCAAAAAAGTGTCCGACCTCTGTGGGAGCTCGTTCTTGGCTGCGCTGTGATTGGTCAATCTACATTCTAGGACGTGGCTTAGCCAAAGGCGAATTCTGTCCTTTATAACTCTCTCATGTCGTTCCAAAACTGTAAGACTTCTGTTCATCTTCGGAACACAAATGAAGATTTTTTTTGATGAAATCGGAGAGCTCTCTGTCCCTCCATAGTCAGCAACGCAACTGAAACGTTGACGCTTCAAAATGTTCATTAAGAGATCATAAAAATAATCCATTTGAATAGAGCGGATTAGTCCAATTTGTTTCGAAGTGACTCGATCACTTTATATGATGAAAAGATTGAATTTAGGCATTTATTTACATATAAACATTGATCAGTGGACAGGAACAGAAGCTCAACCGAACCTGCTTGACAAACGAAAACAAACCTCTTGCTGAAGCTCAAACGTGCTGCATAACACTTGAGAATGAATCTCATTGGTTCTTGCTGAAGCTCAAAACGTGCTGCGTAACACGAGAATGAACCTCATTGGTTCTTGCTGAAGCTCAAACGTGCTGCGTAACACGAGAATGAGCCTCATTGGTTTTTGCTGAAGCTGAAACATGCTGAGTAACACACGAGAATGAATCTCTTTGGTTCTTGGTGAAGCTCAAATGTGCTGCATAACATGAGAATGAATCTCATTGGTTTTTGCTGAAGCTCAAACATGCTGCGTAACACACGAGAATGAACCTCATTGGTTCTCACATGTCAAGCGAAAATGTTTGAGCTTACGTTAACCACAACTGATATGTGACTTGAACAGATTTGTAAACTCAATCTGTTCATCATATAAAGCGATAGTTTCAGTAAACCGCTCAATTCATATGGATTAGTTTTACGATCTCTTCATTAACTTTTTGAAGTGTCAGTTGCATAGCTGTCAATTGAGACTGCAGAAAGCTCTCAGATTTCATCAAAAAGATCTTAATTTGCGTTCCGAAGATGAACGAAAGTCTTACAGGTTTGGAACGACATGAGGGTGAGTAAGTAATGACAGAATTTTTGGGTGAACTATCCCTTTAACACATCGGCCTACTAACATATAACAGAAAAGCTACTTGCATAGCAACCCTTTTGGGTGAACTGTTTCTTTATGAAAAGATTACATCTTTTTAATTAAAATAACAACAACAATACAAATAATCAACTTGGTTTCTTGCAAAAAGAAAAAAAAAACTAAACTAAACTAACAAACTCATTTTTAGTCATAATGTAATTAATTATAACACTTATTTCCACAATCCAAAGAAACCATGATAGATAAAAGCAAGTTTGACCATCCAATCAATTCTCAACAAAAATATGGAAGTAAAATGAGTTGTATAAGGCATTACATATTGATTTTAGGTGTGTTTGTGTGAGTGCATACCCTGAAAGATGATGGTACGGTGAACAGTGGATCCCTCGGTGTAGTTTTCAGGCATGGGAGACCAGAGGAACGTATAGTAGTCTCGTGCACTGCTCCAGCCCACCTAACACACACACAAACACACACAGGAAACATGAAGTGAGAACTAAAATTTCTGTGACCAGACCAATGAAGGCCTTTAAAAAACAGTTACAGTAAAACATATAAATCAAAGACTAGTTCATTAGACTAGCTTGGCCATAACAATACATGTGAAACTACATAAACACAGACTATATAAAAGTTGAAGGAACACTCAGTCAAAACAGAGATGGAAAGAGAGGGAGAAAAAAGACAGAAACATTACTTGCTATCAAAACATTAAACACAGACAGTCTCCACGAGAGATCTAAAGTCCTAATACTTTCTGTCATATCAATTTCATAGGTTATATACATCAATAAGATCAGGGTGGAATGGAAACACTTAGCCTCCCTTCTGCACTAATTAGCCAGCAGCGAAAAGGGGGCACAGTGTGTGTGTTTGTGTGTGTAAGGTTGGAAAAGGGGGTGTAATGGAAAAAAAAGACCGGGGAAAAGGTGAAAATTTTATAATGGCTTCAAAGGCGCCTAAAATTGTGTGGTTACTCAAAAATTGTGTGTGCATGTGGATTACATCATTTCTGCCTTTGAAGCAAGTGTAAAATCTTCACCTCCAAAACCACCCATTGTGGGTGCGCAAATGAGTGATTATATGGTTTTATAGCTTTTTTTAAATAAAATATGATGGAAATTAAATACAGATTGTAATCCACCATCATAATCATGCCAAATACAGTTATATCTTACAGTTACAAAAAAAAAAAACACACACACACACACACACACAGTCAGCAATTTGTCTTCATAATTTTTCACAACTCTACCTGACATTTACTTTGATTACAATTTATCACATCTGTAATCTCTTTTTTTACGGAAAGTATTCTGCTTTCATCTGGCACACAGTCATCTGTGAAGAAATCACCTATTAATTACAGAGAAGAAAAGAGGAAAGAGAGAGAGAGAAGGCATCCGAGTGTGTTTCAAGCAAGCCATGCTTGTACATACAGGACCGATCAATGATAAATTAAATAATAAGAGGGCTGACATAACTATAAATCAAGTGCATAAGAACATGTTCGGCATGTGCGCGACAACTTAATTATATACCTGTTTGAGTGCGTGTGTATGTGTGTGTCTGTGCATAAACCTATGTATGTGTATATGCATGATTACACAGCATTTTTGAGAATTGCTTAAAGGTAGCCTATTTATTTAACATGCCTCAACATCCTCCTTGATAAAGAGTACTATGTTTGTTGTTTAGAATACTATGAATATGCATAGATTACTATGTTTGAGTTTCCCATTTTTTAAAACCACTGAAGACTTTATACAACATTCACAGGGAAATTACAAGCACAAATTAAAAAGCTGCTACTTATAACTATACAAATAAAAATATCAAATACAGTTATTTAGATATAATAATAATATATATTAGAAAATATTCCATTAAATAGTATAAAACTGAACTTTTCCTTTTTTTAATTGAAAAACGAGCTCAATCCTTTTAATTATATTTTAGCTAACAGAAAATGTAAGTAATTTTTAAACTGTTATGCAATTCACCGCTGTCTGTACAGAGAAGTACCTTCTTGATACCACCAGAGGGAGCCTGTTGTTCACTAAGTACAAAGCACAGGTTAAGGCGTGTATTAAATGTGTGTGCGTGCCTGAGAATAATTCCTATATTTCCTCATTGATTATTTGAATATGAGTCCATAGATATTGTCAGAATTTATCCATCGCTTTTAATATGGTCTATAATAAGTCGAACTACTATCTAAATATGAATTATACATGGCATGTAATGCTTGTTATTTCACTAGATCTTATTGCATACACAAATATGACTAAAGGAAATGCATAAGGAAGGATTCAATTGTCAAACGGCAACAGCATCCAGCACAACAGCATATGCATGCAAACAGACACACACACACACACCGCAACCCTTTTCCCTCATAAACTTACTATCAAAAACGAGTGATATTGAGTGGATTAAACATCTTTTTTCCAATCCACATTTTCCCCTGCAGCCCACCACTCTAAATGCTGTCTGGAAAGATCTGGTTCATTTTAAGTGCTTTTAACATGAGTCATAAACTGTCATTGTATCTTAACAAGATGTTAAGTTTCCGTGCACTCATTTCCTCTTGATTAAGTGCGACATTAAATTTCAACATAAAAGGAAGAGCGAGAAAATAAATCGGATAGGCCATGCACAGACCAGATATTTGTGGACTTGGATGAAATAACACATATACTAACCTTAAAGATGCCAACCCAGTCTTTTGGATGTGGGGTGATGAAAGAGGTGAGTGTGTAATGACATTCAAGCGCTGCCTGCGGGAGGAAGCTTTTCCCAACATTCTGGAAGATGACATGGGCAAAGTTGGATGTCTCCATGACAACACTTCCTCCTACACCTGCAGATACTCCCGTGTTACAGGCTGACGACAACATAAGTGCTCAAGGAAAGCCTGTGATTGGTCTATCTGAAACAAGAAGGAATAAAAACTCACAAAGGGATAATGAAGACTGAGATTTTCTCTTTCAAAATATAAGGGTCGGATAATAATATAATAAAATATAATAAAAGGGTCGGAGATGATGTTCGGTCATTATTGCAAAATAAACCCCAACTGAGACCTCTATGACCTTGAAGGAGTTTTCTTAAAATTATTATTTTGCATTATTACTTGTCTATTTACCAAATAAATAACAAAATGGACTTGAAATACTGATTTGATTTGAAATCAATTATTAGTGCGGTCAAATCGATTCATTGTGATTAATTGCATCTAACATAAAAGTTTGTGTATGCACAGTTTTGTGCAAAAGTCATTTGGCATGTTAGTATTTCATCAAAAAAAAAAATGAGTTTAAGCCAGTTATTATATAAATAATTTACCAATGTCAGTAGGAAATATCAGTTTACATTTCCAAATATTAATTTTGCCATTAATTGTAATAATCCAGAGATAGTTTTGTATGCACAAGGTGTCTGACAACATACATTATTCTCCACATGGAGATCTGATCTCACCATCGAGTCTGGGATTACATGAAAAAACTGTGGTAACATCTCCAAGATGCTTGAAGAAACCAACCTGTGTGTAACTATATATATATATATATATATATATATATATATACACATACATACATACTTGTTTTTTTAACAAACTTTTATGCTAGATGCGCTTAACTGAGAATAATTGATTTGACAGCGCTTGACATTACTTCTAGAGACCATGGAAAAACCCATAACACAGGCACAGCTAAATGAAAGGTAACAATGTTGCCCTGGAAGTTTTTGGAAACATTTTGTTGTGATTAACCAATCAGAATCAAGTATTACATGAAGCTTAAATAACATCTCTCCTGGTTCATTTTAATTCCCGAGATATTCACATAAGTTTATATTTAGTTCATGATGTTACCGTGAAGGTTTAATGATATTATAAAATTTCATGATGGTGTGTTAAGCCTTACTCAAATTGCAATAAACTATATATCATTCTACTGAATAAAAATGTTATAGATGCTTAAGTATTTCCTAGCTGACATACATTTGGTTCAGGCCTAAGTGGAGCTGCATGAAGAAGACCTGCCCTGTTTCAGGCCGGATGGGGCGATGCCGAGAAGGCCTGTATAGATGCCAGTGGCTGCTGATGCTGATGTCATCACTGTTCAGGCCTTTCACTTCAATGACAGCTCGAATAAAGGAATATAGAAAATCACATAGGCGTACTGAACTCATTACACGTAACACTCACTCTTGATCTTACTAAAACGTGATATTCTTAAACCAAAAGCCACTTTCTAGATACATATCACTTGCATCATGTTGCTAACTATCAAGTCACTGCGGGTTTTAATGATAGTTAGAAGTATACTAGTAAGTTAGATGATATAGCATTTATTCTATATATCATTCGACAAAATCACTGCCGGTGTCTTTAAAGGATGAGCCGATAAAACGAGTTTTAATCACTCCACTGCAATCCCACCCCTAAATACATCGAGATGGACCGCATGCAATTCCATCATATATTTCCAAGATTATCGCTATATGTACATATTATAGTCATCGCTCAATAAATCGGTTATACCTGTAATCCATGTTTACTTGAAGATCTGTAACTCTTGTTGGTTAGATTGCAAGACAACGCAGATTAAGCGAGTCTGTCATGTAGCTGCTGAACCGGGTGTCAACATGTTTTGGGAATCTTGAAACGTCATTGCTACTTCCGGTCGGTTGCGCACTGTGATTGGTTTATTTACCCTTGTCACAGAGATTCGCTGTTTACTATTGGTTAGTGAATAACCCCAACAAAATAAGGACGGGACTGGGGGGTCCAACTCTTTTCGACAAATTCGGTTCTTTCGGACTGGAACCGACTGGAGCCGGTTAAAAAAAAAACTTGGTTCACTTTAAATGTTCTGATATTAGCTTACTGATTTAGTTCAATTCGTAAACGAATCCTTTCAGTCCGACTCACCAAAACACACTGCTTCACCAAAACATGCGTGGACATTATGGAAAAATGCCAATCATTACCCAATACGTTTTGGAATGGTCATTGTATGCAATCTTTGATCATTTAATATATTTAGTGTGAAATTAGATTAAGTTCAAAATTCCTAGATATGTACGGCTGTTTTTGCAGTATACGTATAAAGAATATGTGTATATAAAAAATAGGGTGATAAGCAAGCAAATCACGAATCTAATGCACTAAAATGTGAGTAATGACAAAATCCATAAGAAAACGAAACACTAATATTGGGGATTGTTTTTAAATGACAGTTCCCAGGTCTTATGAAAAAAATATTTGTCATTACTTTCTTAATACTGGATTAAATATTTTAAAATCATTTATGAATATTAACCTCACAAACAACAATTTCTTGTAAAGAAAAATTTTAGACATAACTAAAATTACTAAAGAAATGTACACGTTTAACCCTAAACTATTGGTGCAGTCAGTGTTCTTGGAAAATTTATTTTGTTTTTTTTATTTATTAATTGCAAGCGTAAAAAGTCTAGCCATATTTAATCTTTTAAGAAGTATCAACTTAACTCTATTAAAAGAAATCGTAGCAGGATGAACTTGGGGAGAAACTGCTTCGGAGCCGTTTAAAACTGCATGATATCCATAGGATGATATCTCGCCGACAAATCCTTATCAGTGATTGGAGGAATGGTGCTGTCAATCATAGAGCCCGCCCCCTGAGTTCCTGACTCGTTCACTGTCAATGCTCTGAGGTCAAGAGAAATAACCATGGCCGCTTTGTTTAGAGGGTGGCGGAATGGTCGGATTTTTTATAAAAGAAGCAATACACATGTGGAGCTCACTTTGGGTATGTTATTTCTGCATTCATTCTAAATTGACAGTGCAAAGGGATTAAAGCACCGCTAATGTACGTTGTTGCACAGAGCACTTTGGAAATGTACATTTGATTTGTATTTTAGTCTGCACACTATGTGAACATACACAGTACTTTCATATCAAAATATGTGAACAGACATTGTGCACACTAACCAAGTCACTGTTTGCTCTTTTTTTTTGTCACCTCATTTAGTCATTTTATCAATAGTTTTTAAAGACATTCAAAAAAAAATGTATTGTCTAAAATTTAGACAATACATTTTTTTTAATGTCTTTAAAAACTATTGATAGTGATGGTTAAATAAATGTATGTTTATCTAGCAAAGATGTGCTCAATGTTGTATTATATTAATTTGATTGATTAGACTCCTGATATACTGACATTACATTGATTTTTACATGTTTACTGATTCATCCCTATGTTAAACATCTTCTGCTGCCGTTGTGGTACACTATTTGACTTTTATGACTTTTAGTTTAAATAGAGAAGATTGTATTTTACTTTTTTTCTGTGTATGGCTTTTCAGTATCTTGTAGTAGATCAATGGCCTCCAAGACCCCAGTGGGTTTTATTGGACTGGGCAACATGGGGACACCTATGGCTAGAAACTTACTGAAGCATGGATATCCTGTCATTGCTACTGATGTCTTCCCAGAGTCTTGCAAAGAGCTTCAGGATTCAGGAGCACAGGTATAAGTGTATGTTTCTCACAAAATGCTTTCGAAACAAAATAAATCACCATCGTTCCCTTGTTTGCTTTATGTTTAGACTGTACAGATCTGTGAATGAGTCTATGAGAATAATTTCCCTGCTTTTCCTCTCAGATCTTGGATACCCCCGCTGATGTGGCCGATAAAGCTGACCGCATCATCACCATGCTACCATCCAGCCCCAATGTCATTGAGGTTTACACAGGTTCCAATGGCATCCTTAAGTACGTCCTCTCTGAATAAACTGTCAGCAGTGTTAACTTTTAAATCCATATTTACTGATTTTTAACCTATTGGAGAAAGTGCTCTATTCCTACTTTTATAGCAAAATTAGTTTCAGTTGCATATATGAATCTGCACAGCTCTTGTCTAGATTATTTATAATGATTAACTTTAGTCTAAGAATTGTTCCTAGGCTTAAATCTGGGAAAATCTGGTCTGTGGTGTTTTACAGGAGAATATGAGCTTGGAGGGGAGGCATGTAAAATGTAATTCTAAAGGAACATTATATGTTATAGTATTGGAGCAATAGTTTACAACACTACACTAGTAGTTGGCCAACATTTGCTTTTTAACGGCTGATGACTGGTTTATACGCTACCTTTCAAAAGTTTGGGGTCAATACAGTTGTTGTTGTTGTTGTTGTTGTTTTTTTAAAAGGACTGTATATTTTATTTAGCAAGAACCTTAATTCTTTTCATCAAATAATCCCAAAAATGAATTGCATGTATCATTCCAAAAAAAATATTAAATTGTTTTTTAACATTGATAATAATATATAATGTTTATTGTGCAACAAATCAGCACATTAGAGTGATTTCTGAAGGATCATGTGACTGAAAACTGAAGTAATGGTGCTGAAAATGTAGAGTTGCCATCAAAGGAATAAATGACATTTTAAAATATATTAAAGTAAAATATAAAAAAACAGTTATTTTAAATTGTAATAACATTTTACAATATTAGTGTTTTTACCATTTTTTTTAATCAAATAAATGCAGCCTTGATTAGCATACATTTTTTTTTTCAAAAACATTAAAAGATCTTACTGACCCCAAGCTTTTGCCAGGTAGCAAAATGATTTTACACAATATTTATTTAAATTATTTGTTTATTATATATATATATATATATATATATAATATAGACAAGTATATATATATATATATATATATATATATATATATAGACAAGTAAATGTTTAGCTCTGACATTACTTGGAATGCTCATCTGTATTTCAAGTTAATATTTTTGGTATGAGCGGTTCAGATGAAAAAAAAAAATCCTAAAAAAAAACATCCATCCATCATAAAATATAGGCCAACGTAACATCTAAATTTGGTTTGCAAAACACAATAGACCTGCTTGAATATTCCTAAGCTTTTAGACTTCTGTTCCTTGATTTTGTCCTCTTCTTCAGGAAGATAAAAAAAGGCACCCTCCTCATTGACTCCAGCACCATCGACCCATCAGTGTCCAAGGAGATGGCTGTTGCTGCTGAAAAGAGGGGTGCAGTGTTCATGGATGCTCCGGTGTCAGGAGGTATGACCAATCTGGAAACAACCTCTTATTACCACCAATGTAATTTTCTTCTGAGTTTGATTGACAAGATCACGTTGTTTTGATTTCTTGGAAGTGCTGGAGATGCAGTTACAGTGTCACGTGTCATTTAGGATTTATTGTGGTCCGTAGGTTCACAGATGTGCTACAGATATATGTACATATCGTCTGTTCACGTCATTTTGGATATTTTTGTTACTCATTTTGATTTCCTGTATAGAAAGCTTTAGATGTTTGTTCCTATGGCTAATGCTCTATTTAAAGATCAGTTAGATATAGCATCACTGAAGTTAACCTGTAAGCTCAGCCTCAGAAAGTTTCAATTTTATAATTTAAGAAAAAAAACTGTTAATTTTAAAATGTCTTTACTAATTTTAGTCCCTTTTAGTACGCATTTATGTTTGAATTTATGTTTGTAATTGTTAACCTCAAAGGTAGGGTGGGCAATTTCAAAGAAGCTAGCAATAGCAAGCTAGCTTTGAAAGCATTTGATCCCTTCAGAGTGTCTCCAAAACCTTGCCTCCTCCAAATCACACGAATGCACACAGCGGAGCCTGTCCCTCATCACGGACTGTGTTAAATTACCTCATGTCTCAAACCACATAACATTAGAATTAGTGCTGTCAAACAATTAAAATACAGTGGTATGAATAAGTTTTGGCACCCATGCTAAAGTTGCCTAAAAAGAGGAATAAAAAATCATCTTTTGGATATTGATCTTAATGCCTAAATTAGAAAAATGAGGAAAACTCCATCCTTTAAGGACACCAATTTTCTTTGTGAATGAATAATGTATCATAAATAAATAAATGTTTTTTCCTTAAAATACAGGGTGCATAAGTCAGGGCACCCCATGTTAAATTCCCATAGAGTCAGGCAGATTTTTATTTTTTAAAGCCAGTTATTTCGTGGATCCAGGATAATATGCATCCTGATAAAGTTCCCTTGGCCTTTGGAATTAAAATAGCCCCACATCATCACACACCTTTCACCACACCTAGAGATTGGCATGGGGTACTTTCCATAAGATCATCTTTCAATGCAAATCAAACCAGCTATTAGGCTAACTGAAGTAAAACCGTGCCAATCTCTAGGTGTGGTGGAAGGTGTGTGATGATGTGGGGCTATTTTAATTCCAAAGGCCAAGGGAACTTTATCAGGATGCATATTATCCTGGATCCATGAAATAACTGGCTTTTAAAAATAAAAATCTGCCTGACTCTTTGGGAATTTAACATAGGGGTGCCCCGACTTATGCACCCTGTATTTTAAGGAAAAACATTTATTTATTTATGATACATTATTCATTCACAAAGAAAATTGGTGTCCTTAAAGGTTGGAGTTTTCCTCATTTTTCTAATTAAGGCATTAAGATCAATATCCAAAAGATGATTTTTTAATCCTCTTTTTAGGCAACTTTAGCATGGGTGCCAACTTATTCATACCACTGTATTTAATCACAATTAGTCGCATAATATTTTTATCTATTCTAAATGTCTCTTGTTTTTCTTTTTGCCCCATTATTATTTTTTTTTCCTTCTCATTTTAATGCTCTTATCAACA